CCAGAGAACACACATAGGCATGGGGAGAACATACAAACTCCACACAGAAAGGCCTCAGTCAGCCAGAGGATTCAAATCCAACACACTGGCTTCTTCAAAAATTTGCCCTGCTGTTGATTCAAATGATTGCTTGGGATTATCTTTAGTTGCCACTATCTGAGCTCACCTTGTGTCATATGGTTTGGAGATGGAACTAATGCTGTTTCACTCTCTCTGAGTGATGGGTTTCATGGTGTTCATTTGTGCTGGGTTATGATGATGATGGATACGTTTCGCATCTGACCCTGGGTCCCTGTATTTAACTTCTGTTCATACCTAAACTTGTTAGTTGCATTTTGTTTTAACAACTTATTTGCCTCACTTCACTTCCTCTCCATCTCCTTTCTTTCTTTTCTTTACTGATAACACAGTTTGCTTCCCTGACGAGTCGCATTGTCAGTCACCTAGATAAAATATATTAGTTGTGTTGTAAAAGGTCAGCCTAAACAGTTTTCTCTCATTTGTAAGGAGCAAAAATATTATCAGAGAGCCAGTCACCCAGCCAATTTGTGTTGGGCAATTTATTTATGATACCACTTACTCAAATAAAAAACTGCAAACCACAAACCAACTTTTCATTGCAGGCTTCCAAGGTCACCTCCCAGCCCACGTTTTGTGCTTAGAGGTAGCTTCATAAAGATAAAACCTTTAGAGATCCAAGTTTTAAGGGTTACGTTGTAACAGGGAACCTGGAAGAAGAACCCGAATGCTGACGAAACAGGCAAACCACATGATGTGGCATGATGTGCATGACACATTTCTAATTTTCCTGACCATTTAGAGCACCTTACACAAGAAGCCAGACTAATTGGTAACAAATTAACCTAACATGCATTCCTTTGGACTGTGGGAGGAAACCAGAGGAAACTGGAGAAAACCCATGCGGACACAGGAAGAGCCTAAGAGGGCTAGGATCCACAACTGTTCTGCAAACCAGCAAAATGTCTCTTTAAAGGCAGTTACATGCCTCTAAGTTTATTTATGTAAATTCATGTATCCATCACATAATACATATTTGGATAATTATTAAAGAATGTAAAAGAAACATTAATTCATGTGTGCAACAAATGTGTTGTAAACTTGAGAAATATGCATGTTAGTGGAAGTTTAGCATTAGTGCTTTCTATGATAAATTGCATTCATGACTGAATGAATGAGCTGAAATCATTATGCATTCTTTAAAAAAAAATACATGAAAGATGCTTTGAATTAATAATAAAGATAAAAGGAATACTTTATTCATCCCACTTTGGGAAATGCTTTGGTTTTGCTGTTAGTGGTTATTCAGTTCACACAGACTGCTTAATGTGAAGTTATAGATTGATTATTAATGACTGGTCCGTATTGTTGCTCATCCAGAAAGGCACACTGTCGGGACCCAGATGGGAAATCTGACATCTGGTGACCAGCAGCAGATCTATCAGTACTTTGATGCTTTCTATATGTATATCTCCTCAGTCTACATACAGATTCCACAAAGTAACACGTTACTATGTGCATTATTACTAATTTATTATTTTTAGTGAATGCTAAACAAAGCCAAACATTAACAGGAATAAAATATGGCACGTTGTACCAAAAGATTCCGATTTTTTTGGGGGGGTTTTTTTTGCGTTTTTTAGTACCGGCAATAGATTGACTGAATCCATAGAGGTCAAAACATAAGATACCATGCCACAGACACGAGAGCCTTGTCTGATCACAGTTAAATCTTCACAAGCTTACATTGTTACCACTGTTTATGTAGTTTAATTGGAACTGTCGAACAGCAGGAACAGCAGATGGATTCATTAATTGTTCAGCTTTTAATTTAATAATAAAATCACAGCTCTGGTCTCAAAACACTGCATTTCACTTTATGGAGTGTATCCCAAGGAAAAAACTAAGACAAATGAAGCTCAAACCTTGGCAGAAAGTGAATATTTAGACTTTATAAAGCAAAGGATTTCTGACTACTGTAGATGAAGGCTCACCCTTAATTCTCTCTAAGGACTGAATCTGCTCATCTACGATCTTAGAAAAAGGGTGAAGAGACATGAACACAAAGCAGTCAAACAAAGTGAGAAAGGAAAAAGTGAAAAAAAAAAAACTAAAGGAAGGAATAAAACGTTTCACAGTATCAGGAAGAAGAGCTAATATGAGGAAGACAGAAGCGAGGAGAACGCTGAACAGAAGACAGGTGGAAGGTTAATGTAACACTGGTCTGTTCTGCCGCAGCCTTCCAGGCGGTGTGTGTGTATGTGTATGTGTGCGTGCGCGCGCGCGCGTGTGGTGGGGGGGTTATTGCCGTGGAGCCCGAAGCTTGACGCGGGACGTTTCTGGTCTCGAGCACCGCGGTTATACTCCAGCTGGCACGCGCACAATGGTAGACATGAATATGGAATGGTAACGAACGACAGCGCGAGATGGGCAGGCACTGATATCAGCTTTAACTTTCCCCGGTGGCGGCTCAGCTTCGACATGGTAGGACAAAACCTGTTCCGGTACAACAATGTAGCAGTGTGTCCCTTCCAACCCTTCCCACTGGTGTGCTGTTTCGTGTTTTCCGAAAAAGACGCAATGCGAGGAGTTGACTGAGTAACGCAGGCTACGCAGCTGAAAGTGGAGCAGAAAGCGGTGCGATAGTTCCGTCCTAATGTCAGCAAGCCTGCGTCTGTATTTCTCATTTTTTCTTTTAGTTTGTTTCAGCATTTGAACACGGTCCGATCCCTGGCGTTTTCCTGGAGAGATTCTGCCCGCTAAATCACATTCAAAATATGGCAAAATAAATTGTCCTGCGCATGACAACAAATATACACGCAGTCAAAACATAAGTGGGAACAAGGTTGAACTGTCAGGGCCCATCCTTAAATTCGGCACACATATGATACACGTTAAAGCCCACCCTTCAATAAAATCTTAACTTTGCCTGTCGGGTTGCCCTTTTATCCAGCTGACGTTTTCCATCAAACGCTGAGTGCAAGGCGGAAGCCAGCAGCAATTACGATTATGAAAGTGGAAATTTCGTTGCCGTAAAGCTCTTTCTGAGTATTTTATGCGCACCGAATTTGCCAAAAATGTATTTAGACACGAAATGATTTCATGTTACACACGGAATGTTAGTTAGGCCAGCGATAAAACAAAAACTATTTTAACTGTTGTAATTTTGAATGAAGTTTTGAACGTGGCGTATTAGCGTTACACAAGCTTCTTCCCACAGGCTATGGGTTCCGGGCCCTGACTTCGACCGATTAAGCGGAAAATATGCCCTGCTGTGTGCGTATCAGGTGTGGAGTAGGGGGTGAAAGTTGTTGAGCTAGGGGCTTTGTTGAAGCGCGTGCAGCAGCAGGCCCTCCGCCACCGCTCCACTCGTCACGCGGGACGGTGGAAGGCCAAGTTGAAGTTCAGCTCAAGCCTCCTCCTCCGCCTCCTCCTCTCGGCTGTGGATGTGTGGATGTTTCTGGGCATTTGTGTTAGTCAGCAGAAAATGGCCGCAGTTAGAGCCAGCGGGCTGAGTTAGAATGACAGGCCGACAGAGGGCCTCCTGCCCCGGCTTACAGCCCAGTCAGAGAGCTGCCTGAAAGAGGGAGAAAAAATACAGTTAGTGGAGGCAGTCCTCCTGAACCACATCAGTTGGAAACACTCAAAGAGTCATGTTCAACTTGCAAAGTGAGCAAACATCCGAGAATCCGCTCAAGAGTAGAAAAGAGTCAGATGCTGCCCCTCATCAGTCCCTCTAAATGCGGTACATGACCCAGAGGAATGTCTGCCTGAGGAAAAGCTTTAGCCTATTCAACCGACTGAGATGGCATGCCCCTGCTCACACAGTACACGACTCTTGTGTCTTGGGACTTTATGTGAAGGTATTCACATCTTGTAAATCCAGTGTTGAAAACGACTACTGTAAACTGTGTACCACACGAATAAAACCAGTCCTTATGAGCTAACTATATTTAAATATCAAAAGTAAGTATTCTGAGTAGAAAAGGAAGTACATGCGTGTTATACAAATATATCATGAAAGTACAAATGTATGATTATAGGCTATAAGTGGAACTTATTGTTGGTTGAATGTGTATATAAAACATTTGTAAATACCCTGACTTATAATTATGACTATCAATACAATTCAATATAAAGTACTTAGTAATTGCAGGAAATAGGATACAGTTTAATTGTAGGCACAACAATGCTATCACATGCCATTCTCTTGCATGCCAGCTCTGCCACCATTATTGTGTCTCATTGTGGAAAAATGGACAATAACATTGTAATGTGCTTTGTTTAACCACTAAGGTTAAAAGGTGCTATGTGCAGACCAGTGCAACATTTAAAGCCGAATGGAACAGAAATAGGTTTATCTACCCTGAGAGTACTCAGTCTTGCTGCCACAGTTTGGAAAGTTTGGTCAACAGTCACCTTAGAGGGTCGAGTGAAGCCAAACAAACTTATTCTGAGTAATCACTTTTACTGTGATGAAATATTTCCAAGTGTCCACAGGACAGGATGACTCACATGGTTTGAGAAGCAGGAAAATACTGTGAAACACATGCTGTGCCTGTTGATGATATTGCTGAACACCTATTAAGGTGATGGGGTACGTTGCAGAAGGTTCTGGGTGCACGTGGTTGGATTACTAACACATTAATAGGACACTTATCGGTGTTGGTGTCTCTAATTGACCATTTGCCTGTATATCGCGGAACCATTGTGCCGATTTGTGGATGAGATATCCAATTATAATATAAACCTTGGTCAGGTTTTTAATGCTTCCCATTTCACTAGAATGCAGTCGGTCAGGACTTTGAACACCTTGAATCCATGATTTTTAAGACTGCAGGACGGAGGTGCAGCTGTTATTGAGATAAAGTGCTGTGCGCGTTATAGGGCAGCTGGGCAGTGAGAGCGCAGCTGCAGCTTTAAGCTCATAGTTTGGGATGGGCTGAATTCACAACGTCATTTCAGCGCTCTGTCTTTTATTCTTCGCCCCCTCATCTCCTTCCCTCTCTAAATGACACAACTCCCATGTTCCGTTAAACCTCTGGCCATATTTTCCGAACAACTTTCTTTTTTCCCCCCCGCGGGACATTTTTCCGGGGCCGAAACTTTTCTGGCGTGTGATCGTTTCTGGAGTTGACACAGCAGTCGTTCGCTCTCATATGTGGATTCTTTGGAAAAGCCCATTTTAACAGCCCAGGAAATGCAGCGTTTTCTCCCGCCCAGAGGGATCGCTGCTTAACTGAATCCCGACATGGAAGAACATACAGATATCTCCAAAAACAAATAAGTACGCTATGAGGATTTAAATGTTTATGTTAACGCACAGCCTGCTGTGATTCAGCTCCATCTCGTCAAAATGATGTTTTCGTCCCTCTCGCTGTCTCAGGTAAAACTACACCACAGTTGTTACACTTCAGCTGTTAAAGGAAAGCTTTCCCACTTTGAAAGGAAGCTTTAGTCTAGACAGCCTTTGTTGATTTGACAGTCCTGGTTATATGTGCCCTAACTCTGTTTGGTGACTGACATCTTCAATCAAACAGTGTCGCAATATAAATTCGTGCTTGATCAAAAGCAGGCACATATGCGAAGGCTGAAACAAATCCTGCAGACTGCAGCAAACCTGCTGATCAGGGGCTGTAATTAACATGGAGTTTGTAGCTGGAATGCATTGAAGTTACTGGTTAACAGACTTCAGTTTCTCTACAGTAACTTTTTGAGATTTGTCTGCCTACATGTACTTGTGTGTGCATCTGCAAGTGTGTATCTGTGTTCAAGTGTTTTCCCAGTATCTGTGGACAAGAGTAGTTTACATATCAGTGGTGTCATTTCTGGAAAAAACCCCTTTTTAACAACAAAGTTAAAAAATTGTATTTTAATTGCTGCTTCCTGATTCTTAGTGTTTTCCATATTTTTCACATTTGCATCTTCCAGATTATCAAAGATAACTTGAGTAAATACACAATGCATTTTTTAAACAAGGATTTCATTTATTAAACAAACAGAGTTATCCTAATCTATCTGGGTTTGTGTGAAAGACAAATTGTGTCCTAAATCTAATAACTGGTTGTGGCACCTTTTGAAGCAATGAGTGCGAAGGTTTTTCAGTATGAACGTCCTGTTTAAACTCCCAAAGCATCGTAATCAGGTTTGATTCTGGACTTTGATTAGACAACTTCAAAACCTTCATTTTTTTCATATTTTTTGAGCTGTTCACAGGTGGGCTTGTTGATGTGTTTTGGATTATTCTCCTGCTGCAAAACCCAAACACAGTTGAGCTTCAGCGCACAAACCTACACCATGTCTGACCACGGTATGATGTTGTTTTTATGAAATGCCGTGTTAGTTTTATGGCAGATGTAATAGGAATCAAACTTTCCCTGAAGTTCAGCATTTGTCCCATCAGTCCACAGAATATTTACCCAAAGGTCTTGGAGATCAGCAGGATGTTTTTTGTGGTTTTTTTCCATGTTCAATCTTTAGAAATGGCTTTGCAACTCTTTCTAGACTATTAGATGTCAAGGACTTCGTTTCCCATCTGTTTGTTTAGATTGTGCCATGATGTGTTGGTATTTGAGCTCTTTTAGCCTACTACACTTTTTCAGAAAGGTTCTATTTAAGTGACTTATTGATTCAGCAGGTCTGGAAGAATCAGCCCTGAGTGTGGTTAGTGAAATTGAACTTAGCTTTCCGAAAAAAGAAAAAAAAAATTAAAAGATTAATCACAGATAACCTCAGTTAAGGTCAGGTTTCGTGATAAGAAATGTAAGTAAGAAAGAGACTTGACAAAAATGGCATGGAAGAGTTTCAAGGGGAAATCCACTGCTGACCAAAAAGAGCACAAAGACTCATCTCACATTTGACAAAAACCTTGATGATCCCCAAGACCTTTGGAAAACTATTTGGCATAAAACTAACAGCCTTTCATAAAAAGAACCTCATATCAGCACAAGCCTGTTGGTATGGTGATGGTAGTATTATGGCCTTTGGTTGCTTTGCTGCTTGCTGCAGTTGATGAAACCGCAAATTCTGCTCTCTACCAGAAATCCATGAAGGAGAATGTCTGGCCAGTAGTTCAAGCCTTAAAACTCAGGCTAGTTCACTTCTGAATGCTGCCACAACCACTTACTAGGTTTAGGGGGCAATTACTTTTTTGTATAGCACAGGTTTGGATAACTTTTTTGTTTAATAAATGAACATTTTTATTTACTCAGGTTATCTTTGTCTAATATTCAAATTTGTTTGATGATGTGAAATATGTGACTGTGACAAATATGCAAAAACAAAAGGAATCAGGAAGGATTGTGATACTTTTTTACATAGCATCTTTCTAGTTTTACTGACCAGTCAATGCACTCTACAAACGCAGGAGGTTTTTTTAACTCTTCAAAAATGCTATATTTCCATAAAGCTGCACTGTCTAATGCTGCCTGCTATGTGTGGAAATCAGACAGAGATTCAGTTTTATTTTATTTACATAGCACTAAAAACAGTGCTATGTACTAAAGGTACTTAGTATTGCCAGGTAAAGATCCTACAAAAGTAAAGAGAAAACACCAACAGTAACACAACCCCCTATGAACAAGCACTTAGTGAAAGTGGGAAGAAAAATCTCCCTTTTAAGAGTAAGAAACTACTGCCAGAACCCTGCTCAGGGAAGAGCAGCCAACTGCCATGGCCGGTTGGAAGGGGAAGAAGACAGGACAAAAGATACAGTGTGGAAGAGATCCAGAGATTAATAATAACTAATGATTAAATACAAAGTGGCTTAAAAACGAATAGTGCGTGTCAAAAGAAGAAGAAACACTCAGTGCATCATGGCAACACACCCAGTATCCCTAACTATATGCTTTAACAAAAAGGAAAGTTTTAAGCCTAATCTTACAAGTATAGAGGTTATCTGAGGGTCCTCGAAGCTGAAGGCTCTGCCTCCCATTCTACTTTTAAATACTCTAGGAACCACAAGTAAGCCTGCAGTCCGAGAGTGAAGTGCTCTCATGGGGTGATATGGTACTATGACGTCGTTAAGATGAGATACAATCTAATTATTCAAGACCTTGTATATGAGGAGAATGATTTCAAATTTAATTTCAGATTTAACAGTAAAACTATGGAACAATGCAACTATTGGAGAAATATGAAGAAATACACAACTTTTCCAGCCTTATAATAACGAACTCCAATAATCCAGCCTCGGTAAGCATGTTTTTCAGTTTTATAGATAGTTTCAAGAATTTCTGAGATGACAGGAAGGTAGGAGATTAGCCTAGAGTTTGCCAAGGCACCTGGGTTAAGTGATGGAATAAGTTTTTATAATTTTTTTAACTCATAATATGAATTCATTTTTATTTCTTGCAAACAGCCAACATTAAGTTAAATTATTACAATACATCATAAGCTGTTCAGTAGGGCTTACAACAAAATCATTTAGAAAACTGCAAATTCGTCATTCTAGGTAGTGATGTCATCAATCATGCTACACATAAAATGGAAATTGTTAATTAAGCTCAGAGTATCCAACCCTGAAGGTAAAACATCCAAGGAAACTAACCCAATTTTTGTTTAGTCAACTAACTGCATCCAACTAACACAGTACATTTACATAAGAAAATCATACAAACAGTCAAAGATGGTGGTGGTAGTGTGTCGGTCTGGGGTTGCTTTGCTTCTTCACGACTTAAACGACTTGCTGTACTTGATGAAACCGTAAATTCTGCTCTCTACGAGGAAATCTTGAAGGAACAGCCATTAGTTCAGGCCCTGATCGTCAAGCACAATTATGCAGCAGAACAATGATCCAAAACACACACACCAGCAAGTTCACTTCTAAGTTGCTCAAAAAGCAAAATGAAATGGAGTGAAAATAAAGTGGCCTAGTCAAAGTCCAGGCTTAAATCAGATTGAGATGGTATTAGCCTAAGCGGGCCTTTCGTACTGGAAAACCGTCTAATGTGCCTGAATTAAAACACTTGACCCACTCGTCTTTGCAGAAGAAGAGTGGGTCAAATTCTTCCATAGTGATGTGGAAGAGTTATTGCGAGTAATTGCAATGCTTATTTGCAGTTTTTGTTATCAAGGGTGACATAGCTAGTTATTAGGTTTAGTGGGTAATTATTATTATTTTGCATGGGGCCATGTAGGTTTACATAACTTTTGTTTTGTTTGTCAATTCAATAATAATTTTAAAACTGCCTTTCAAATTTAATATCCATCACATCAGAAACTCTGACTTGGATGTGTCATGGGCTTCCCACTGTCATCCATTGTAGTCAACCTTCACATGGAGGAAGTAGAAAGTAAAGCTCTTGGTTCTTTCAAAAGGACAGCACCAAGCCACTGCCCAAGAAGTTGAATCCTTCACTGCTCGCATCAACTCAGTGGATAAAAACATAAAGTTCACCAGGGAAGAGACAAAGGTCATAGTTTGCCATTTCTGGACTGTGCTGTGCGCAGAAGGGAAAGAAAAGAACACACATGTAAAGAAAGCTCTTAAAACATTTGGTTATCCTAAATGGACTTTCATCAAATCAGCAAAGATGAACTGGGAAGAAGGTCGCACACCAACTAGGGAGAATCAGAAGGAAAAACAGAACAACATGGTCATCCCTTATGTAGCAGGTTTATCAGAGAAACTCAGGAGAATTTTCTACAAGCATGACCTCCTAAGCTACTTCATACAAAAACTGGTTCATCCTGAGGACAAAACTGCAGTACAGTGAGGAGAAACCAAACAGCCACTCCATACACGCATGGCAAAACATAGAAGAGCCACCTTGGCAGGACAAGACTGAGCTTTACACCTGCATCTAAAGGTTAAAGGTCACTTATTCGAGGATGCCAATGTTCACATTTTGGATAGAGGAGACAGTCGGTTTGAAAGAGGAGTGAAAGAAGCCATCTCTGTCCACTGTGAACGACCATCCTTGAACAGAGGGGGTGGCTAAGGACACAAACTGTCTGCCACCTACAATCCAGTTTTGAGATCCCTTCTCAGGCGCCACTCACATCTCACAAGTTCTCACAATGGTTTCACCTGAAACCTCTGCTAATAATAACCCACACCCTTTTTGACACCTTGACTCATGTGATCAATAGTTGGTCTAATGACCCTCTTAAGGGAAACTCCCACTAGGTTTTAAATACCTGTGACTCGGCACCATTTGGTTTTAGAACTGAAGAAGCTTCTTAGATGGGAGGTGAAACGTCTTCAAGAAACTTAAAGTCCAGTCGCCATTCTTTCCAAACTCCTTAGATTACCATGACCTGGATGATTGAGAACTTACATGGACATGGAATAATGTAACTTTTGTCAAATTAATGTGAGCTTGAATGTGTCCAAAATCCCATGGACCTAACAATAAATTAGAATTTAATAATAGCAATAACTTTGCAACTTTGTGTTGTCTTTGAGCAAACTGGATTAACTACAGCAAACCATTTGGCTCGCTAGAAGACCTTGTGAACCAACTGTGGTAGGAATGTAGGAAAGCCTTGGTATCAAGGTATCACTGAGAACTTTCACAGACATGATACCTTGGTATCAAGTCACTTTGCTATACAAAAAAGGCAAAAAAAGGATAAAATGATTTATACAAACTACAGTCAAGGTGAAATGTAGACTCAGTTATAAAAGTGCAAAAATATCTGCCTTATAGGCAAAGCAGGAGGCAGACAACAAAGACATTTTCTCTAAGTACTGAAGTAAATCAATTAAATCACAACACAGCTCTTTGTGAGCGCACAAAATCCTCAACATATTCCCTTTTTAAAAAAAATGTTTTGATTGGTGTCATGCTTTGAAATGAGCCGCACCAGATTAAATGACCTCTTTTTAGTTTCAAAGAGACATGCTGGTACTGTGCAAACTGTGCACATTAGGGTCAACTGCTTAGTGTTCTCCTCAGTCATGCTGGTTACTACGATTGGACTAAACTACTGTGAATTAGACAATTAAACTGAGCTTGCACTGCAGTAACTTATTGGCAGTGGTGGTGTTTAAGTCTTTTATGATCAAATTGTAGGAATTAATGTATCAGCAGAATTCAGCTGGGTGGACGCAGTGACCTTGCTGCCAGCCCTGGACCCCCAAGATCTGACCATATTGTTGATGCTGTATAGTTATAAAGGCCTAATACTCACTGAGTACTTGGTTGAGACGTTGCTGGCAAAGACACCAGTACGAAGTTTCTTGTAATTGGTCACCAGGTTTACAGACATCCTAGGAGGGATTTTAACTGACTCCACTTTATAGAATCTCTCTAAATCTTTCAGGTTTCTTGGCTGCTGCTTGGAAATTTGAAACTTCAGCTTCCTCCACAGATTTTCTATAGGACTGAGGTGTAGAGACAGGCTATGCCTGGCCGAGGTATGACTTTAGTGTGCTTCATCTTTAGCCTTTTGTGTGTTTTTGGTCATTGTCAAGACTGGTCCATGACCTTAACTGTTCTGGCTGAGGGAAGAAGGTTCTCGTCCGAAAATCTATAGTACATGGTCCTGTTCAAAGGTCTCTCCCACTGGTCTTCTCGTACTCTTAGCACAAAAATGGTTAGTGTTCCTCGGGTCATGCTTAGCATTTCTCTTCCTCTAAAAGTGGCGGGTCACGTTAAGGTCAGAAAGTTCGATTTTGGTTTTATCTGACTGCAGTGCTTTCTTCCATGCCTGATGATCATCCTCACCCATGAGGCCAGATCTTCCATGAAACTCCAAATTGAGTGATTTGATATTTTTTCAATTTTCAAAGAATTGCACCAGCAGCTGTCATCTTTTCACCACGTTTCTTGTAGCTCATTCCAGCCTTGTGCACATCAACAGTTTTCTTCCTGATGTCCTTTGACAGCCCTTGTCTTGCTCATAGTGGTGGATCGTTTGGAATGGAAGAAATTGATTCTGTGGATACGTGTGCTTTATTCACATAATGAGTTGAAACTAGGACTGTCTGTTATTGATACAAGGTCTTGAATAATCAGGCCTTATCTTATCTTAAAAACCTTATAGTACCGTATCACCCCTTTAGAGCACTTCTCTCATAGACTGAAGGCTTACTTGTTCCTAGAGTATTTAAAAGTAGAATGGGAGGCAGAGCCTTCAGCTTTCAGGCACCTCTTCTTTGGAACCAGCTCCCAGTTTGGATTTGGGAGACAGACACTATCTCTACTTTTAAGATCAGGCTTCAAACTTTCCTTTTTGCTAAATGATATAGTTCAGGTGACTCTTGAGTCCTCCCGTAGTTATGCTGCAATAGATGTAGGCTGCTGAGGGCTTCCATGAATAATTGAGTTTTTCTTCTTCAGTCACCTTTTTTTCACTCACTGTGTGTTCATACACCTCTCTGCATTTAATTATTAGTTATTAGTAATATCTGGCTCTCTTTCATCGCATGTTTTTGTCCTGTCTTCATCTGCTCACTGTCAGATCCCTGAGGCTGTTTCTGCTGAAGGTTTCTTCCTGTTTAAAGGGAGTTTTTCTTTCCCACAAGGAGCTTGTTGGGGGTTTTCTCTCTTTTTCTTGTATTATTGTAGGGTCGTTATCTTACAGTATAAAGCACTTTGAGGCAAGTGTTGTTGTTATTTGGCGCTATATAAGTAAAATTTAATTGACTGCATGTGGCACACAGACAATCTTTGTCTGGCTAGGTTGTAAGGGAAAAAATGCTTTTTTCACTCAATGATCTGAAACTCAATTTATAATTTTTATTTAACCTCCTAGGACCTGGCGTCCACATATGTGGACATTTGGGTTATTTAGACCAAAATACTCAATTTAGCTCTACAAGGGCCTGGTATCCACTTACGAGGACATTATACTGCTACTGTTCTATCGAAATTTTAAATGAATATCCTCATATGTGGCTCTCATTTCTCTTAGAAACAAAAATCAGGTAAAAAAAAAATCTGGTAATTCTTTGTTTTTACATTCATCGGGCCCCAGTCAGCCCAAATATCAAAGAGAAATTTGGAATGAATGGCCACTTTTACCATTGTGTGCCTTCCAAGAGTTACATGGTTACCCCTACAAGTCTGTATTAGTTTAGAGTGAATCGCTTTGAAATGTGTAGATATGGAAAACATTGTTTTTCTAAGTATTTAAATTGAAGTGGAGCTATTATGCTTTTTCCTAAATTGCCATAAATACACTGTTACAATGACACACGGTGTCCCATTATTTTTATTCATTTTTATTTTTGTTAATTATTTTTATTCTGATTACATTCAAAACAGTGGAGCTGTTTCACACAAGTCTCATGCATGCTCTTTTTTGACCCTGTTTTTCCACTGTATCAAGATTTGGAACAGCTACATTGTTCCTGAAAACATCTATTTTTTTACCTTTAAAAAAAACATAATTACTGCTCTCTGATACATTGAAAAGAAAGCAGTAAGGCTATTAAAGAAGAATCAGACCTATAGGCTTGGTCATCTGGTACTGGTACTGACATGACTTGAAGAGTGCAGTCTTCTACTGTGAAGTGTGCTGCTTGTGCTCTGGGATATTGACTGTTGCAATGTACCCAAATGCTACATTCTGTTAATGTGAAAGAGGATCTCTAAACGTTTTAATAGCACGTTTTATATGTCTGGATCTGATACACTTAATTTCTCAGAAAACCATATTCCTTATTTTTTCATATAAAATTAGCTTATATATCATAGAGACTGTTAGTATGTGCGTCTTATCCAGATGTGTAAAATGTCAGTGTTCTGTCTTGCTGCTGATGCACAAGTCAAATCTAAACAATGTAGGCAAAATATTCAAGAAGCAGATTCATTGTTAAGGGTTTCGTTACCAGTATATCGTTAGTATCCAAAGCTACATGTCCTACTCTTTGTGTTTGAGTTTTAGTGGTTTAGTTACTGATTGCTGAGTCTGTACTGTGTGTCTCTATCATCCAGGATGAGTTCCATCCGTTCATTGAGGCTCTGCTACCCCAGGTTCGTGCCTTTGCCTACACGTGGTTTAACCTCCAGGCCAGGAAAAGGAAGTACTTCAAAAAACATGAGAAGAGGATGACTAAAGAAGAAGAGAGAGCTGTCAAAGATGAGCTACTTGGGGAGAAGGCAGAGGTGGTATAAGTATATTGGATAACTGAAATAAGCATTACTTTTTTTTATTTTAAAAAGTTTTTTTTTAACTTTTTAAATTCTAATAATTTTAATTCCAAATCACACAACAGTTGCCTCAAGGTGCTTTATATTGTAAGGTAAAGACCCTGCAATAACACAAAGAAAACAGAAAACAAAAATCACAACAATCAGACGACCCCCTATGAGCAAGCACTTACTGGTGACAGTGGGGAGTTTGGGGAGTTTTTAGGACACCCTGGTAATAATGAATTACAGTAGTCTGATTTTTATATTTAGCAATCAATGTTTTATATCATACCCATATTATATTGCATCTTCCCCAATTACACTAAGAATATGCTAGAACAAAGCTGACTTGTTCAGTTAGAGTTTCTGTTTCTTATTCTGTTCCTAGGTGAAACAGAAGTGGGCCAGTCGTCTTTTGGCTAAGCTAAGAAAGGATATTAGACCTGAATGCAGGGAAGACTTTGTCCTATCAATCACCGGGAAGAAAGCTGCATGTTGTGTCTTATCAAACCCTGACCAGAAAGGCAAAATGAGACGCATAGACTGTCTCCGACAAGCTGACAAGGTAAATTAAAAAGTTGGTTTGTATTTTCTTTTGGCTGGAGAGATAGAAATGCAGATAGTTTTTCTAACCCCAGACTAAAATTGCTGTCAAAGATGTGAAATATCAAGCAGTTTTTAATTAATTAAACTAACTCAGTCTAACTCAGACTAGCAGTGACATCAACTTTGCCGTCGAAGGTAAGTTTATTTACCTACTGTTTGTACTTGTAGCCGGCTTGTTTCTGCCTGAACTGCACAATCGCTGCTGTGAGTGGGTTTAACAGCTGATTTTCCTTGTCTTATGAATGCTATTTTCCATGACTTTTTCATTAAAAAGGTTTTTGTGACAATGCAAGGTTGTATCAGGTTTTTGTTTTTCATGATTTTACATCAAACATGAGGCTAGCAAGAAAAATATATGAACTAACAAAAGTGACCTTCAGCAGAACCAGACTTAGACAGGGAGGTTTGTTTTATGTGTCTCTGTAAAGCACTTTGAATCACCTTGCTGTTGAATTGTGCTATATAAATAAACTTGCCTTGCCTAATTAAAGGAGGTCAAACAACTCACAGCAGCTGAAAATTGGTGGTTAAATATTATAACCTTTCTACTTTTTAAAGATTTCTGATTTTTAGTTAAGAAACTGTCTTATAAATATACCATCACCATACTGTCCGTGCCCCTGAACCCTCTGTTCCACCTCTCCCCGTACGTCCTTAAATTTAGTTACAGCTTTTTCTGTTTATTTTTATATTGTAATGAATTGTATCGCCCGTGTGTACACATTTATCTTTGTGATAGAATAGAATAGAATAGCATAGAATTCAACTTTATTGTCATTGCACATGCACAGGTACAGGGCAACGAAATGCAGTTTGCATCCATCCAGAAGTGCTTTAGTGATATAGATATATTACAATATATATTAGCAATAATATAGATATGTGAGTATATTACAGAAATGGGTCTATTATGGTATGTTATAATGTACACGGTATGAAGTATGTTGTGAATATTCTATAACTATAAGTATGTACAGGCTGTAGTGAGTACAAGCTATGTACAGGCTATGAACAGGATATAAATATGAAAAACTATACAGAATATGAAATAAATAACTTTACAGAAATCTGAGATATACAGCTATACAGAAATGGGAACTATGCAAGTTGTAAACAGTTGTAGGATTAAAAATTATCGAATGTACAGAATGATTATTTACACAGAGCTATACAGTAGTGCAGTTAAGATAAGTGAGATATAATTCCTACAGAGGCTATATAAAGTGCTAGTGGTTGTGAGTGGTGGTTCAGTCCATGTTATTATTGTGTGTTTGAGGGTACAGTTGTCCATTGTGATCATACAAAAGAGGGTTTTCAGGGAATACTGTTAAATGTACAGTTTTTATACCATATATCAGAACAAGATGTTTAGTGGGATTAAAGTGGTGGGTGGGTTCATTTCCATTTTCAAAGAAGCCAGTTGAGTCTAATAACAGATGAAGTCAGAGCAAGTCAATGTGTTAAAAAGTTAGATTGCCAGTTGTTGATCATCATTATTTTAATGGTTGGAAAAGCTAGTGAATTTTTTAGGCTCTGATCTTTAATTGTATTTGTGATCTTCCTGTTCAAACATTGCCTCAAAAAAAGGCCTGAAAGTGGGTTGATGGACCATTTTATATCTTGAAAAGTATTTGATATATGACGCTAAAATCAGAGACAGTCAAGCAGAATAGCGAATCAAAATCATAGCCTTTATGAAACTTGTAATACAATTTTAGTTAACCCTGAAATTGGCTTAATAAAATTAGGAAATGCTAAATTTATAGCTAACTGTTTGCTTCATTGCCTGTGCCTGTATTGGTTCTCTCTGGGTATTATGGCTTCCTTACACAATCCAAAGACATGCTTGCAAGGTTAATTAGTGAATCTAAATTGGTTACAATTCTGAATCTGTTCGCCCTGTGATAAAATGGGGCTCTGTATGTACCCTGCCTGTCAGTCTCTGATAGTCCGTAACTCTGTGTCTTAAGCGGTCAAGGAAAAGGATGGATGCTTGGCCCATTCAGGGGACCAGTTTCACACTAAACATAGCAAAAGTGAGACTCATGTTTTTAGTCAGACATAAGTGGGGTTTTTTTGCTTTGTTTTTCCAAGGTGTGGAGATTAGACCTGGTGATGGTTATCCTTTTTAAAGGAATCCCACTGGAAAGCACAGATGGTGAACGGCTGGTGAAAGGAGGCCAGTGCTCCAATCCAGTCCTCTGTGTCCAGCCTCGACACATCTCTGTCTCTGTCAAGGAGCTCGACCTCTACCTTGCTTACTATGTGCAAGAGAGAGGTATGCACTACATACTACATACTTCAACATTGCTGTTCATGCTGACTTTCATGTATACATTTAAATATAGTAGACCTCTGGTAATATTAGATAAAATATGAGATTGCTACATGGTGACGATGCATCGTGCATCTTGTTGTAAAGAAGAAAAAAAAACTTCTTTCTTTCAAGATTCTCTGTTCTACATTTCTATTATATCAAAATTTGTTCTTATGATTTCAGGATATCCTGGAAAGTTTAACTTTCCTCACTTTAAAATGCCGTTCTGTATTCTCTATGTGTTAGTTTGGTATTAGTGTCAGAACAGTGTTCATCTGTTAGCCACAGATGTCGAATAATTTGTGTTAAATGCAAACACACGTTAATCATTGTCAGAACCTGTACTGGTGTGAAATTTAACATTAGTCCCCAAATGGGAAAAAAACCCCTTAAATTAACATTTAACATTAAATAGATATGTTCTGCAAGTCTTAAGAGACTTTTTTATGTTGTACTATAATTTAGGACAAATGCTGCACTTTCTAATGTTAAGAAAATAATTATGATAATTGAGTTAGAATAAATTAAAGATTTAATGTATGAATAACAATGCAAAATGGTGACTTTCATTAATAAACAGGTTATAAAAGGTGGATGGTGATCACATGCCTGTTTGCCTGGTGTATTTGAATAAAACTGTTGTGTTGCTAAATAGAAAATGAACATGAGTGATCTTATTTAACACATTGAACAAATCAAGAAAATCTGCCATGAAAATGGTTTTCAGTCACAAAATATGCAGTTAGTATGTTAAAATATGCCCTCTGCTGGTTTTGGATGAGCATGTCAGTTAAGAACAAACAAACAAACAACAAAAAACAATATGCAATACATATCCATTCTGTGTTTTTACTGCATCTTTAAACTTTTTTGAGGATGGAGCTAACAATATTTAAATATGCTTGTTCTTATATTTTCCTATAAGAAAGAATATATTGGCTGACCTACTTTGCTTGTTGAAATTGCTGAAATCTTGTTCTGTTCTCTGCCTCATCCACAAACACTGTCTCACTCTCGCTCTCTCCTTTCAGAGGCCGAGCAGAGCAGCAGTCCCAGTCGCACTGGTGTGGGTTCTGATCAGGAGGACAGTCGAACTGCCACCATGGGTAATGTAAAGTATATTTCTTTATTTTTCTTTAATCTGTTTACATATCTCTATATGTCTCTATCAGGTAATATGATCAGATAAAATAAATATCTTGTACATAAACAGTCTAATTTGCTAGAGCATGGGTTGACTTCTTAGACACAAAGTAACAACAAAGACTGCAGTATTCTGAGCTGTGCCTTGTATTTACAAGTTTTAAATGCTGTTATTAATATTTATTACAAGCGGAAACATGGACCTGTATAAATTAAGAAAACTACCCAATCTATCAGTTATATTTTTGCTTTGGACTGCAAAGACCAAATAAGCTATTTAGGCAATTAAACATCAAGATCCAAAGTGTAATTATATAAATACTACCTTAGTTTATCTATTTTCTTAGTGTGTAACTGCTGCTGTTTTATTTTTGCAGATGGTCCAGAGTTCCAGGAGAGTTTTGTAACATCAGGAGTTTTTAGTGTTACTGAGCTTGTTCAGGTCTCGAGAAGTAAGCCTGCTTTACCATTATGTTTACCTTTACACAGCTACGCTACCTTTGGCAGTGTTCTTACAGAGGCTAGTATTGTCATTGTAACACCAACCCTTCTTTAGCTCTGTCTTGACAGATTTGGTTTAAATATTTGAATTTGAAAAATGTTGAAGGGCATATTATTCTTGGACTAGTTTGAGAATATAAGAACAAAATGCAAGTGCAATTTCAAGTTGTTTTTATGATGTCAATTGAGGCAGCAGTGCAGTTTATTAATCAGAAGGTTGGTGGTTTGAACCCTGAGTGCTCCAGTCTGTATACCAAATGTCCTTGGGCAAGGTACTGAACCCCAGGTTGCTTTCTGATGCATTCCTCAGAGTGTGAATGTTCAATAGGAAGCACTTATATGTAGAAGGGTGAGTGAGATATGCTGTATGAAGTGCTTTGAGTGCTCAAGTAAAGTAGAAAAGCACAGCATTTCTAATTTGTTGGCCTTATTTTTTGGTAAGATATGGTAACAACAGGATATCCATATCCGATTTTCACCCTCATTTAGCTGTTTATAGCGCCTTTGTCTCCTGGGGGTGGAGAACATGTCATGGTGGAGTACATCAATCCTATCAGGATAGTTTGATCTCAGGATAAAAGTGGACCCACAGAACAACTCAAGTCATTTCCTCTAAATTGAATTTCTAAACATATGGAATCAAACCACACTGTCTCTTTTATTAACCATGTAAAATATTCAAACAGAAAACATTTACAGCCTTTTGTTTTGTTTTGTTTTTATTCGTGACCTTTAAAAGTAAACTGATCTGGTATGACTGGTGATCTGAACTAAGTGGGGGAGGCCATAGCAAAATCTTAAGTGTTGACTGTGAAAGTCAGTGAATTACATGTACATGATTAACAAAGCTTTCCTTGCTGCTTTGTGAGTAGATATAATGAAATCTAGATAGGAAATTAAAGACTAGTCAATTAGCACAGTATTGGGCTTTGCCACACACTTTGTGTACCTGATATTCTGTTTTAAGTGCGTAACTCATAATCTGTCTTTTTCCCATGTAGCTCCCGTTGTAACAGGAGTAGGGCCTGGTTTCTCTGTGGGGGAGCTCCAGGGTCATCTGGCCTATGATCTCAACCAGTCTGTTAACCAGCCAGTCAGTCTCAGACGATCACTGGCCAGCACCTCATCCAGCGGGTATTTTTACACACACACACACACACACACACACACACACACACACACACACACACACACACACACACACACACACACACACACACACACACACACTAGTTTTCATGTCTTACTGAGCACATCTAATTGACATAATGCTTTCCCTAGCCGCTTGCCCTAACCATGAAAAATGAATGCCTAAACATAATTGCAACACTGATACTTAAACCACATTTTGAGCCTCAAAAATGTCTTCAAACCTGCGGGTTTGCATTTTGTCCCCATAAGGGACTGTACAATTTTCTGTCCTCACAAAGATGCCTAAACATGCACACACAAACAGGGTTGTAAATGGAGACTTCAATTTCTGGTGAATGTTCAAGCACATAAAAGGCAAAATGCAAGTGCACATTAAAATATAGGAGAACGAAAACAAATACATAGAAAGATAATAAAGGGACAACCAGGAGGCATGTACTCTGAGAGCATAAGATGGGTCTATGCCTAAAGCTGCTCAGTCAGATTTTTTGACATATAAAGGATGATGCCTATATACTGCACATATACTGTACTGTACTGTACATTTATGTATGCCTGCAGGTAAGGCTGGGCACTGAAAGCCGACTGAAAATTTTCAGAAATATTATCAAAAAGATTGGACCGACTTGCTGAAATATAAGTCTTTTCAACTTTAAAAACTTTTGAATAGAAGGTGGCTGATAAATATTTAGAGCAATTGCACTTCTGCAAGGTAGAGGTTTACACTTACACTGTAAAAGTGTAAGTGATGACAAGTGATGTGTGAGAGTTGTAGGTTTTTGAGGTTTACCTTTTTAATTCTTTGGAAAAAAGATGGAAGTAGGGAATCCATTTGTCCAATAATCCTGTCTATTTTAAAACGGATTCACTGGGAAGGATGAGCAGCCAAGAAATGGTACAGAGACTCATCCCCTGACTGCAGTTACTGTAGGCTCTGATGTCTGTTTGCAGTAAGATTCATGTAAACAGTGCTGTGAGGTATGGCAGGATACCCCTGAGAAAAATACCTCAGTGATCATCTTGTTTAGCCCACTGCTGCTTTAGTTTCCCTGTCCTTGTTTAACCTTTCTAACACTTCAGCCTTTGTTTTATTGGAGAGCAGTTTTCTGAATTGCTCATTTAAATCACATTTAATAGGATAAAGTAGCTTTAAGAATTTATTCAAGCAAAAGTCTCTTTCTTTAAGGCCGTGTTTTGCTCTTTGCTCTCTTACTATTTTCTTACTTTTTTCACTGTAGGTACAGAAACACCTTTAGTCATTGACCCCAATACAAAAATAAACTTTCTATAGTACATTTGTGCCAAAAATAAGATAAAGCTCAGACAAGCCTGTATCTGTGCTGAAGGGTTAATGTTAGGCAGTAATAAATGAGCAACTACCACAGGAAAGACTGGCAGAATTTCTTCTTTGTCACAGTGAAGAATTAGTCAGCTTTTCATTCAGTCGGCCTGGTAAACACACGTCTGTGGCAAACTTTTGATTTCCCCGGCCATATCACACACACATATCTGCACAATTTGCAAGTTTGCTCACTTACAAAGAAGGATTGGAAGAAAATGCTGCAGTCAGATGAAACCAGATTTGACCTCTTTGACATCAGCTCCGCCCGCCATGTTTGGAGGCAGACAAAGGTTGAATGTGACTCAAAGAACATCATCCGCACAATCAAACACAGAGTTGGAAACATCATAGTTTGGCCTGTTTTTCTGCTAAAGATGATTTCACAATAAAATCTTGGATGAGAACCTCCTTCTCTCAGCCAGGATGTTGATGAGATGAAGCACATTAAGGTGGTGAAAGCTAAAGCTTCCAGTTTCTAAGCAACAGCCAAGAAACCTAAAGGATTTAGAGAGAGTGTGTGAAGAGGAGTAGGCCGAAATCCCTCCTGAGATGTGTGTAAACCTGGTAACCAAATACAAGAAACTTCTTCCTGCATGTAGCAGTAAGAAGTAGCTCAGGAGGTATCTCCTGATAAGACAGTTGGTGCTTCGATCCCTGACTCACCCCAGTGGGCATGCCAAATGTCCTTGGACAAAGTTGCTCTTGCATCCATCGGAGCATGAATGTGTGTGAACGTTAGTTAGTAAGCACTTAAAAGCATAGAAGAAAGTGCTTGTACGATTGGATGAATGTAGCATTTTGTATAAAGCGCTCTGAGTGCTCTGGAAGAGTAGACACGTGCTATATAAGAATCAGACAATTTACCATTCTTGCTGGTTTACTCATCCACTAAGTACTAAGTCATGTTGTTCTTGAGAATCAAATACTTTTTTCACAATGACGTGAAAATCCGTTCAGAACTTTTATTTAATGTGTTTTCCTGTTTGACGTTCTGTCGCTCTCCATCAGAACAAAACTGTCATAAAAACGAGAAACCGTTCATTTCTTTCTAAGTGGGCAGACTTGCAAATTCAGCAGGAGATGAAAGAATGTGTCCAGTTGAATGTTTTTATTCACTAGGCATCTTAAGTTTGCAACAAGTATTCATTGGAAAATCAATTGCACTTAGGAGGAACATTAAGTGTGCAGTGTGTTATTGTGCGGACTAAAATCAGTATATGGTTGGAAAAGTAAGAAACACCACTTATTCTTTACAGAATTTATCTGACATGATAACAGTACACAATAGTTTACAGAAATGTTTTTTTGATTCTTGCCCTTTTTTGGTTTTATTTAATAATATTAATAATATTTAATAGTGACAGTTGAGACTGACAGGAAAGCAGAGAGAGAGGGGGGGGGGAGTCATGCAGCAAAGGCCAGAAAGGCCCAGAAATGGTTAAATGAAAATGGGCTGCCAGGGTTGGATTGTAAATGATTTGGGTCTCTGAATGAAACGGGAAACAGTAATGCTGCTAAAAAGCAAGTTGACTTCAGCCCACACACAGGTCCTTATGGCCTCACAGTAATCTTACCTTATGCATTTTAACACTGGACTATGCTTGATCTCCTCACATGGTGCTCAGTGAAACCAGGATCCTAAATGTGTGAGCATCTCTCTATGTGTCTTCAGGAGTAAACGTCATAAGTCTGGCTCTATAGAGGAAGAGGCTGATAGTCCAGGTGGGGAGTATTACCATTCACCTTCCTCACCAGCCAGCAGCTCCAGGAACTGGACTGATGACATGGAAGGAGGTAAGACTACCATATCGACTTTCCTATTTACAGTCATGCTGCTGAACAGATTAGGGCCAGGTTTACTAATACATTGCACCATCACAAACGGGTTTTTGGCATTTAAAAAAATATTGTTGGTAATTATGAAGAGAGCACAGTGACATAATTGAATGCAAGAGGCGGGATTTTTATGCGACTGACTATGTTGTATATCTATTTCTGTGAGGAGAATATTTAAATCAAGTATGTAAACTAATGTACTAACATTTGTGTTAGTACATTTGTGCAATTTACTGCTAATTCATCAAAACTAACAACTAAATCTATTAACTAAAACTAACCTATTTGGGTATTGTGCTCAGATGCTAATTTGCCCTGTTTATTAAATCTGGCCCTAAAGCTTGTGATGCACTTATTTGGATTATTATATTTAAGATTAGCATGTAGGAAAATCCTGTTATTCACCAAAACGATACTAGCTAGTCAGTAGTATAATTAAATAATAATGAATTCATATATTTTATCAGTATTTTTATCAAGAGGCAGGGTCATGAACAGATTCTGGACAGTTGTTATGCATAAGAATAGGATTTGCTTAGGCAGCCTGTATCAGCTGCTGGCTCAGCAGATACCTTCTATACATTGCAATGAAGGGCGCGCTGCATCACTGACTACAAGAAGGACAACACAGTCAGTGTTCAGCCCACTGCATCTCTTGCAGACGAGCTTAACAACTTCTATGCTCGTTTTGACGCAGACAACAGATCTGTTGTCTGCGTCAGAATCCTCTACCCTCAGGAGGACAGTGAGGCTGCAACTTTAACTCTGAAAACAGAAGCTGTGAGATGGACCTTTAAAAAGGTCAATCCTTACAAAGCTCCGGGACCGGACGGCATCCCAGGCCGGCTACTCAGAGTGTGTGCAGACGAGCTGGCAGAGGTGTTCACCAACATCTTCAACCTCTCCCTGAGGCAGTCAGTGGTCCCCACGTCCCTCAAAGCATCCACCATCATTCCCGTTCCCGTGGTCTCCTGTCTGAATGACTACCGTCCTGTTGCACTGACATCCGTCATCATGAAGTGCCTGGAGCGGCTGGTCAAAAGTCACATCTGCTCCTTCCTCCCTGACACACTGGACCCTCTTCAGTTTGCCTATCAGACAAACAGAGCCACAGAGGATGCCATCGCCCTGGCAACGCACACCACCCTCACTCACCTGGAGAAAGGGAATACATATGCAAGGATGCTCTTCATCGACTACAGCTCGGCATTTAACACCATCATCCCCTCAAAACTTGCCACGAAGCTCGTCGACCTTGGGCTGGGAACACCGATCTGCAGATGGATTCTAAGCTTCCTCACAAACAGGCCCCAGGTGGTGAAAGTTGGTAAGCACACCTCCTCATCACTCATCCTAAACACAGGTACGCCACAGGGTTGTGTGCTTAGCCCCCTCCTATATTTCCTGTTCACACACGACTGTGTTGCTAAACACGACTCCAACATCATCATCAAGTTTGCGGATGACACAACCATCATAGGCCTCATCACAGACAATGATGAGACGGCCTATAGAGAGGAGGTGATGGCACTGTACGAGTGGTGTCTGGAAAATAACCTGACTCTCAACATCAGCAAAACTAGAGAGATGATAGTGGACTACCGGAAACAACCAGTCAGAGAACACCAGCCCAGCCACATCAACGGTGTCAAGGTCGAAAGGGTCAGCAGCTTCAAGTTCCTTGGAGTCAACATCACAGAGGACTTCTCCTGGACCCTTCACACAGACACTGCTATCAGGAAAGCTCGCCAGCGGCTTTATTTCCTGAGGAGGCTGAGGAAGTTTGGCATGAACGCCAACATCACCTCAAATTTTTACAGGTGTGCAATTGAGAGCTTGCTGACGAGCTGCATCACAGTTTGGTACGGAAGCTGCTCTGCCAGCAGCCGTAAATCACTACAGAGGGTGGTGAAGGCAGCAGAGCACATCACTGGCACGAGGCTTCCTGCCATTCAGGACATTTATCTCCAGCGATGCCTCCGTAAAGCACACAGCATCATCAAGGACCACAGCCACCCAGCACATCAGCTGTTCTCCTTGTTACCATCTGGCAGACGTTACAGGAGTCTGTCTGCTCGGACTACAAGACTCAAAAACAGTTTTTACCACCAAGCCATACGACACCTCAACCACAACACTCAAACACATACAACACAGTGCACAGGACGCACTCAGAAGCTACTTGCAGCTTCACAAGTACTCTGTTTAATCTGCACTGGTCACTCCACTTTATTGTTATTGCTATTTATATTTAAAAAGTACAATACTGTAATTTTCTGCTGCTCATTCCTGTACAATATCCCATCTGCCCTCCCGTCATATTTCTTTTCAAGATTTTCTTATTTAATCACTAGTGTACATATATTTATATTTATAGATACATATATATTCAGTCATCTTTTCTCTTTTACCACGTCTCTCTAATATTTTGCTCCTTACTATTTTTCTATTTTTTTAATTACTTTATTTTATTTTATTTATTTTATTATATTTTATTATATTTTCTTCTACTGTATCATGCTGCTGAGTGACTGCTGCTCGTCAAACACACTTCATTGCAATGTTGACCCTGTGCTAACTTGCATATGACGAATAAAACTGAAAACTGAAACTGAAAACTGTGCATTTTAATCTGCTTTAGCTTTTGCATCCCACCACATTTATGCTATGTGACTCAGTCAGTCCATATTCTGTGACCGTTGTCTACTCTGGGGGGCTCTGGGAGGGGCTCTTACTGTTATTCTCATTTCCAGCTTCCCACGTATGCACATGGAAGGGCACCAATGCCTGCACTCTTTGCCTTATACTTTCCAAATACCAAAGAAGAACGGCAGACCACATCTGACATTTAAGAATGACAGGTTCCTCACGCCACTCTAACAAAGTTCTAATCACTGGCGCCTAACCTGGAAATTCTGATTCTAATTTGATGGAGCTGAGTATCACTTACATACAATGTCTTACTTTTTTGGTTAGGTGCCACAAAACGTTTTAAAATGCAACATCAGCACAAAGGGAAACAGTTGGAAAACCTTTCCATTATAAGCCATACAAATACCTGTGGTCTAGTACACAACTGGTTTCTGCTGAGTCAGGATCGTGTGCTTCATGATTATATATTATATTATTTTAAGACCAATTTCTAGAGAAACTAACATAAGTACAAATGACAGAAAATTTTGGGTGCTTTTGTGTGTGTGCGTGCGTGTCTGTGTGTGTGTCTGTGTGTTGTGGGATTCATTTAGGGCTGTCTCCCCCGGTGAAGAAGGCAGAACTGGACAGTCCTTCTCCCCAGGAAGACTCACCAAGAATGGGTTCCTTTACTCAGCACCACCGGCCTGTTATAGCTGTTCACAGTGGTCAGTAGCACACACACACACACACACACACACACACACACACACACACACACACACACATATATATGTGTGTGTGTGTGTGTTAATGTTAATGTTATATGTTAATTTGTTATTTACTTAAAGGATGCACAGAACAACATGTCATTTTTTTTCTCAGGTCTGTCCCGGAGTCCACATCCCTCCTCATCTCTTCATTTCCCATCTTCCTCCTACTTCCCCCATGGAGCGATCCGTTATCCTCCTCATCTTGCCCAAGACCCTCTAAAGGATCTGGTTTCATTAGCCTGTGACCCTGCCAATCAAACCCCTAGCTCAGTGAGTACATCTAGTCAACACAAGCCAACACACTATTCCCTTTCTCCATTGCACCTCAAGCTAGTATTACATGTATGCTGCAAAAATAAGTACAAATGTTTTTGAAGACAGATATTTCTTGTGCAACCAATTCAATCACCATATTAGCAGTTCCTCCAGACCTGCAGCACTTTGTAACTATAGACAGGGCTGCACATAAGTGGTCCGCAGATGCACATGTGCTGTCAAAATAAAAGACGTGCGCCAGATAAGAAGTTGCAACGCGCGTTTGCGTACATAAGATTTTCTGGAGGAGGACAGACGTTTGTTTAGAACTCTTAAAGATGTCGAAGAAGCAAGCTCCTTTAAGCAATTACTTTGGTGTTCCTCCACCTCCAAAGAAATGTCAGAAGGAGTCCGAACCGCAAAAGAAGCGCGTATTCTCGGAAAAGTGGTTGCAGGAGGTGAGCTGGCATTTGTTTGAAGCCAGAAAATCTTATGTACACAAATGCGCATTGCAACTTCTCATCTGGTGTGCATCTTTTATTTTGACAGCGCATGCGCACCTGCGGACCACTTATGCGCACCCCTGTCTATAGATGGAGAGTGACAATATCTCCACATGTATAAACATAAAAGTAAAAAAAGACACAAAGAGAAGAACTTTGATGCAGCAAGTACTTTTTTTTACATAAAAAAAAAACCCTGAATGTGGAGCGGTGAAGGTAGAAGCAAGTAAGGATATGTGTGCGTGAATTAGAGGGAGACAGGAGGAAAGGTGAACATGCAAGGTGTAGAAATATAGAAGGTTAGAAATGAGGACATCAGAAGGACAGCCAGAGAGGCTGAGATAGTTTGGACATGTGCAGGAGAGCGAGTGCGGATATATCAGACAGAGGATGATGATGAAGATGGAGCTGAGAGGCAGGAGGAAAAGAGGAAGACCTCAGAAGATTCATGGATGTAATAAAGGAGCACATGTAGAGGGCTTGTGTGACCAAGGAGGATGCTGGGATAGGGTGAGATGGACGCAGATGATCTGTTGTAGCGACCCGTAAAGGCAGCAACCAAAAGAAAGAGGAAATCGCATCTAATTTTTTATTCCACACTGGATATCCACAGTGCAATGTATAAATTAGACCACTTCCTGTGAGTTCCAGTCTCCACCCTAAGGAGAAACCCCTCAGGGGCACATGACATCACCTCTGTCCATAACACTAGCATATTTCATATTACTGTGGGTTTAATGCTTCTTTAATGAACAAAATTCATATTTCCAAAATATTCCAGCTGAATGGAAGTAACCAGGTCAAAGTGCCCAGTCACTACATCTCGTCACAAATGTTGGCACCCCCTGGACCTGCACCCTCTCTGGCGAGTCCCCCATCCTCCCTTTCTAGGCCGACCCTTCCTACAGAGTCAAAAGCTACTACCACGTCCTCTGATGCAGGAGCAAACTCCCCCACATCACCCAGTAAGTGGTCATAAATAATCTACTATATATACAGATAATATATACATATATATACAGTTTGTACAAAACATTTCAGTGAATACCGGTGAAAATGAGGCTTAGAGCATCAGTGACAAGTAGAGCAACTAATGATCTGTTCCATAAAATCAAATAACTTCCAGTATATCTTCAGTATCAAGCTGGTCAAATAAAAGTTATTAGTAAACGCTGCAAATTTGATTTTCCAAAGTATAAGCAAATATTAATATGCTGCCCAGAATAAAACAGTTCAGTGGAAGCTGCTGTGTACACTTCCATGTTCAATGCACGATATTAGAATTTTCTCATATTTTGTCAAGTTTGTGATTTCTGACAGAAATCTGATGCCATACTGTTATTCAGATCAACTACATACCTTAAAAGTGGAAAATGTTTTTCAAAAACGACACTGTTAGGAGATGGTCATTATCATTCAAACACAATATGAAAAGAATTAACTCTGCCTTTTGAGATACTGCTTTCTGCACTCACTTGGTTGAGCAGGTGACCCATTTGCACTTTCTTGTAAAAAGAGGTATGAGAATAGACTGGCAGGTCCAGACGCAGGAGGTGGACTGATGTTAATACCTGATAAAGACAGTGTTGTTACAATGTCGTTGTTAGTTAGCAGTTAATTGAATATTTTGTTTACATTGCTGTTACCTTTCTGCTCATTTCTGTGTAAACATTTAAATGTGTGTCAGTTGTATTTCATATACAGTGGACACTTAAAGCCCAGATCTAAGCTGGGCGACATTTGTGGAGTTTGGGGTTTTATTCCAACTTCCAACCTGCAATACAGACAGAATAAATATAATATATTTATAGAATATAGAGTAAAGAGGAGATGGGCAATACTCTGCCCAGTTCACATCAATTTCTCAGATAATTCTGAAGGGAAAGACGAACAATAAGCAAACTTAATTCAGCCAAATATTCTACAGTGAGCAGAGTTGTTGTTGTTAACCCTCAGCATACTCTGCCCCGGGGACCCCTCCAGCTAATCGATCATCCTTCGTGGGAGTCACCCCTCGAGACCCAGGTGGACTCTACCAAGCGCAGGTCAGTATGGTTTACTTCATTGTAAAAGTCGTTTCAGGAAGGATTAGATGACCCCAAACACCAGAAATTTAGAGATTTCACTGTTCAATATCTGGAAAATTCTGGTATTTTTAGTTCTGTGTCGTGTATTCCCAAATGGAAGTTTCAAAGGTTGAGTTGTAGCTGCTGCTGGCAAACGTCTCCCTAATACTGCACATAAATATTTTCAGTAGCAGTGTTTAGTTCAACATGATCAAGAAAGTCCTGGATTATACTTGTGTGTGAGAGGAACTCTGACTTTGTACATTTCTAAGCTGAGTCGTTGTATTTGTGTTTTAATTGTGTGTCTGTCTCCTTTCCAGTCTTGGTATTTGGGCAACTGAGGGAACTTTGGAGGAAACGTGATTGTCATGACAGTAAACTTCTGGGGGGGAAAAATCATGTTGTGAAGACATTTCCAGAGGAAAAATGTATTAACCTCTGGTCATACATATATATAAATATACGTTGCAATATATTTATATATGTGTAAAGAGACGTCCTGGATGGAAGAAGGATGCTGGGCTCTCTCAGCCGTTTTATATCCCCAGAATGAACTATGCTTTATGACATTACATGTTTGTCACAAATGGCATATTTTCAAAGAAAAGTAACGACTTAATGCAGAGGTTTCATTGGTCCAAATGAACTACAGACCAGAACCAGGCATCAACACATCAGATTCTCAGAAGCCTGAAACTTAACTGTGTCCCCAGGATGAGTCCTGTTTCCCTGGGATGGATGTCAGCCTTGACCCCTGTACCCTGGATCTCGACACTAAGTCAACTACAAGGCCTATATAGACCTCATCCCTCCCTCAACACTTAAAATGCCCCACTCTCCGCTGCAGGTGCTGCTTATAATATATGCAAATAAGCCTCCTTTAATTTCTGAACCGACCAGAAGAGGTTGTTAATATTTAATGTTTATTTGCACTTTTTAAGTATGTCATTGATACGTCTGAAGAAAATTACAAGCTGAATAGCGCAGTTTCTTTCACTCTTCCCAACAAAACACAGAGGCTTCATCTTTTTTATTGACAATCATCCACCTGAAATTATTTAGTTGCTTTGCAAGGCTCATGTTTGTAAGACTGTTTGATTGTGCTCTTTGGTAGAAAACAACGAGTAATAGTGGAATATAAGAGCTATATTCATGCCTCCTCCTCCACAGCACACAATGCTACAGCTGAAAGCAAGTGTGGAGCAAGGCCCAGTTTTACTATGCCATGTTAGAGTGCATGAGTGGGCCATGACCTCAGTTCCAAACGTACAGTGTTTGACATTGACGTGACTTCCTCAGTAGAATTATCAAAAGGCAAACACATACCTGGATGATGTGGCAGCACAGCCAGCAGTACATTGGCTGCTGAATGTGGCTGAACTGTAGCCTGGTTGTGTAATGTAGTGTGCGTGTGTGTCTGTAGATGATTGTGTATGAGAATGTGATGGTTCCTGCATTTCCACACTCATTCCTGCTTTGAAGAGATGTCCTGTAGTTTCTGTTTGTCTCAAAATGACAGGATCTGTGTTTGTGTGTGGGTGGGTTAGAAAGAGATAAAGCAGGTGCTGCACTATGATTACAGTAAAATACGTTTCTTTCAAAAGTTATGATGTGGTATGTTGCCAAGCTGGAGGTTTAGCAGACTGTTTTTTGTTTTTGATGAAGGTGTTGATGCTGATGAGCATGTTATGCATATATGACTTGAACTGTGGACAAAATCTGGGTGTGTCGTCTAGCTGTAGAATAAGTGGTGGTCCCTGACAAGTTCTGCTCTGTGTAGTTCAACCCCAACCCAATCTGAACAACGTGTGATGGAACAGCAGCAGTAGGGTTTGATTTGGGACTGGGCTGGGCGACACAGGTGAACAGAAGAACGGTGCTAGAGTTGTTTTCCAGTTTGAAGTGCCAACATCAACAAATTAAGCATTTTAAGGTAGGTCGAGCCCTTGGTTGTCTGTGTAAATGTTGATATAGAGTTTGCATTATTGCTTGCGAGGCAAAGCAGTGTTCTGTTATCGCTGACGTTTCACAGCTTCAGTTATCAAATACATTTCTATAGTGGTCTACTGAAAGGCTTGCAAGCTACATTTTAACATTGACTGAAATCTTCAGAAACATTTAAAAAGGTGAAAAAACATAACGATGAAAGAAGGAATAAAATGAGGATCAGATTCTTGAATGCACCTTAAACATCATCAGTTCTGGCAAATAAAATTCATTGTAAACTCTAAAAGAAACTGTAGTAGACATGTGCACCATGGCCCTTTGGTAAATCTTACACAATGTCATTTGTGTAAGATAATGTTACATGTTGACAATGTCAAGATTTTTAAGAAGTAATACATTATAGTCTGTGCCATAATTTATTTCTAAGAACTGGTGAGTCTAAAGCAGTTTCCTAAACACTTGTTATTTTTCCGTGGATGTAACGATGTAAAAATGTGTTTTTGATAGTGCAATCTGATTGGATACCACACGAGAAGAGTTTCCGAGTAACCTGTATTATTCACAGGAAATTTTCTGCTGGATTGTTTCTGCAGTCCGTCAGTTTTTTCCACTTGCTTTCTGTGCACAGAGAGTAAGAGAAAACTCCAGACATAGTTCCTTGGTGTAGTTGTTGTAGGCTGTTTTCATGACCCACATTTGTCTCCATCTCCTTGGAAACAAATATTCTTATTGGAAGAAAGTTTTTTTTTAAAGTGTCCCCACTGCTGTGGTCTGACCAATGACAGTTTTCTTCAAGTCCTATGCTTCAGCACCTTCAATGCGAAATAATAAAATGGATATTGGTTCAGAGAGCCATATATTTTCAGCTTTAACTAGGAAACCCAATGCTCCCTAGGATGTAGGTCTGAACACTTTCTGTTCTCAGAAAAGAAAACAGAATCTTGCAGAGCTTTGTTTCCACGTTCTATGGAAAACTTACCCGAGGACATTTTATCATTCAGCAGGACAATGATTCAATTCTATAATATTCACATAGCACCAGTTTACGACAACAGTTTTGTCTTTATATGGTAAGGTAAACATTAGGATATAATACAGTGAAAAAAAGGGGAGGAGAAGTGCATGTGCCCCAGCACCATTTAGCCATTTGAATTTGTCATGTGGCTCAACAGCACTAAAACTGGCTCAGTAGATAAAATAAATGTTTGCAGTGTGTTCTAATAATAGTCCGTAAAGGAAGCATATATAATGTAGGTACTGGTCCCAGTACAGAATCTAATGGAACTTCATGACTGACTTTTTTGCGTGAGGAAGCTTTGTTTACGTGATTAATTCTGAACCCCTAAGCTTGTGGCGCTGTGTATTTAAAAGGGTTTATGCTCAGACCTGCTCAAGTTAAAGCAGAGGCTTTAAAGAGAATGTGCTGAAGTTCAACAGCTGAAGAAGATAGAAAATTGCTTCACTGGGCTTCCAGTGAACTGTTAGCAAAGCAGGTGGTATAGTCAGTGGAAATATTGGACCCAGGATTTCCAGTGATATTTACAGTTTTGATCATGCAAGATATTACTTTGCACTGGAAGCAAACATCTGTGGGATCATGCAAACGCCTTGCACCAAAATGCACCAAGCAGCAGAAAAAGACAGCAGTTCACAGATATGGACAGGCTTCACGCGTGTGTTTGTACAGCAATTCGGACAAAAAACAGAAATTCCATTTTAACATTTTCCTTCTGTTTCTCCTGCCTCCTGTTGTCTTTACATTTATAAATGCTTGTGTGAGTTACTATGGGAATGGGCATGAATGATCAATTTCTAAGGAATCTTACTTGGACGTGTCCCCATATAATTTGAATCTTATATCTTGAAATTTGATTTGATCTTGTCTGTTTTCTGTCAGGCCACACCTAAAATGTACTTTACCTTGCATTAGAACAGAGATGTCGGTGCATTTCCTTTTTCTTTCCCACGGTTTGGGGGCTATAGCTAAGTTAATTTAGTGCCTACAAGGGATCAATGACATGGACAGAAAGTGTTGATATGAACTGGATTTTAGTTTAAGGTTCAGTTAAAGTTGTCTTAAAGCTGATGTATATTGCATGGTGCTGTCCTGGTCGCTGTGCTGACCTAACCAATGCATGGCTCAACTTGATAATACCTCTCCATCTCTGTCTTGCTCTTCCTCATCCTTCTTTTCCTCCCTCTGTTCTGCAGACTACATCAGAGGGAAGTGGATGGAAGGCTATATGTTTCTTTGAATTTAATAATAGCTCTGTTGTTAAACTTTTGCACGATATTTCGTAAAACACATTATGTGCCTTGCCTTTAGTTAAAGAACAGTAATATTTTATGGAAACATGATCATATGTTTCACGGTACAAAAAAGCTGCATGTGTGATTACTCGACATTAACCAGTGTAGCAAGTGCACATTTTTTGGTTGTGGTGGTGCGCCACCTGAGATAGTAACTTACGGCTAAGCTCTATGAAAGCTTCCACTAGCTGTTTATCATCTACTCTGTTATCCTAAAGATAGAGCAATTTTTACAGTGTGAAAGGAAGTGTGTGAAACTTTGCGGAAATATGCTCTTTTTACTGTCGTATGAAGAAAACAACTTTGTTCCCTAAATAATATACATTTGGTTGCAATTAAGGTAGCTCAGCTGTTATATCATGACCTACTGAAAGTGTGAACTTGGTCTGTATGGCCCCAGTGACGCAGGCCTGGAGATCAGTTGACTACCATCTGGCAACTACACATGAGAAAAACGTGTCCTCGGCTACTCCGAGTGGTAGTGAAAAGTGCCACACAAACCGGAAATGGACAACCTGTGCCGTCCAACTAAAAGTTTTGCCTTTTACAGCTGGTTGGCTGAAGCAGTGAGGCTTGACTTTTACTTTGAAGGCTAATGTCCTGTCTTTTCACTTTGCATAGCAAGTTTTGCTCTTGCGGGTGTAGTGTTTAGAGACAACTTGGCATCTTCCATGCAAACTACTGTGGCAGTCTGCTAGCATCTAAAGCAATCACAAGGAAGGTTTTGATGCAGCACCATCTGTGTGAGCAATTTCACCCAGCAACATCTGGTTGGGAAATATTCATTTTTCACTGGAAGGTTCCCAGAAGTTGACAGGTCTCTAGGCTGGTGTGACTGAGGCCTAAGTGTGAGAACTGTAGACTGTGATCCAGCCTCCAAGTATATACACCTGCTGTCATATATATCATTTAGGTCCCATGCTTGATTTATTGCAACAAAAACACGTGAACACATGGAAAAGACTGCAGTTCCCAGTATTTTCCCAGTTCCTTTAGACTCTGTGGATTTTTCTGGTGTTATCTGAGATACTCAGGTGTTGCCTGCACTCATATAGCTGATTGGATTCAGTGGCTGTGCTGTTTAAGGCTGGCGTGTAGGCTGAGGTGTCTGTGGGCTAATGTAAGTGAACATTATTGGTGTTGCTATGTGTAAAGTCACATGCACACATTGTTTGATATTTGCTTAGATATGTGTTATATGAAAATGTGGACACCGTTGTGTTGTAGTAAAATGTTTTTTCTGGGCGTGGTTAAATATGGATGGAAGCTTTGATTTGAAAATACACTTTGCAGAGGCTAAAACATGGGTTGAGAAAGTCAAGTCTGGTGGTAAGTCCTGCCTAAATGTTCGCAATACAAACAAAAGCCATTTTCAGAGGCACTGCTCAGCTCTATCTACTTAACGTTTTATTGTCCCATGTTAGATGCATATAGACACATTTAAAGGTTCTTATTGCAGGGAAAAATCTTGTTGGGCTTTAGCTAGTATGGCCACGTATGGTTGCCATGTAATGGAAGCATGTTAAACATGTACAGGTTTAGATTTCAGGGCTTTGCAGCTTTATGACTGGTGATGAGAACACCGTCCAATTGCCTATATGACGACTTTGATCCTGTTACTCAGCATGTGATAAAAGGCCATAAATAACTTTGAGTTAACATTATTTTTACTCATCTTCGCTTTAGGTTATTTTTAGGTTTTCCTTGGGTTATTATTACTTTGCTTTAGAATTATAGTTTTAAACACATCAGTGTGTATAAAAATATATACAAAATGCACTTATTAGTTATCAAGATGTATAGAATGTTTAAATCATTTGTGGCTGTCTTACACAGTAAGTGGAAACCATGAAATGGGGAAAATTGTGTCTCTTAGAGAAAAATGTGGACAACAAAGCTGTTTGGTTTGGACGTCAACTGAAGTGAAATGACACAATGCACAACTGCTAAGACTTCACAATCTCCTAAATGTGTCATTGTGATAAAGAAATGTTGACAGTGATGTCACATGTAGCAATGTTTTTGTAATACATAAATTATGTCCTGAAATATTGAAACTTTTTTATAGGATCGAGCTGTTTGAAATTACTCATTGGGCTTGACTAATGAAATGCTTCTTCTTACTGTAGCACCACACTTATAAGAATATGGCCTTATTTTTGCAAGCGTCAATGAAGGTTGAGTCAACAGTTAAAAATATTTAGGTCAAGTACTTGTGTGCAGAAATGGTATACATAGAAAAACAAGGAATAATTTATCCAAATATTTTGGTGAAAATTAAACGAAATAGGGCTTAAAAAAGCATTCAGTCTTGGACTATACTGGTCCATCGCTGCTTCAAAAATAAAGGTCTTCACCACTGACATGTCATCCATAATAGGGCAAACACTGACAGAGAGAGAATGGCAGCACCGTGACGCTCTAGCAAGTTAGAAAAGAGCAATATCTGGTCATTTTATTGCACATCAGTTGCACAAACACTTTTACCCGCTGAGGATGGTGATGGTATGGGAGCTTATAGGGCGTGCCCTCAGGTATTAGTTTCTTCACACACAGACCTAAGACTTGTAGCAATACAGCAAGAACCCACCAATCCTGGTCAGGTGTACAACTTTAGCAAATCAGAGGATCCTCAGAGACCTCCTGATGGGAGTTCCATCAGAAATTATGAGCCAAAGTGGAAAGTGTAATGGTTGCTGCAAGATCATAGATCGAAGCTGAGTGGTAGAAGCTTTAATTCAGGGCTTTATATGGACTTTGATAGTGGCTGTGATTATAAACCTTAAATAACATGTATTTTGGCTTGAATGATATCTAGTAACCTGACTATGGTGATATATCCAAAACTGTATGAAGACAGACTGTGTTGCTTGTACGGTTACCAAATCTTTATGTACTTTACTTAATGTTAAAACGATGAAGCAGAGTATTAACCTATGATGGGTCTGATTGCGGTTAAGTTGTGATGAGGCCCACTATTTGCAAACATGTTTTTTCCTCACGCGTATAGGAAATATAGAACTTGCTTTTAGATTTAGTTGCTTTAAAAGTTTCAAATACATTTTTAACAAACATTACAGCCAAAAATGCCCATGCAAAATGTGCAAGTGGTTTACAAAAAACTGTACAAGCTTTGGAGTTGTTCCTTCTCCTCCAGCTGACGACCACGATAGAAACTCACGCAAACCTCCACCTGTGGAAAGAATGTACGCACAGTTTACTGGCACGTGACTTAAAATCCACATTTTGGATGCAATGCTGTCAGGAAACAGTGTGAACTGTTGATGTGCGTCTTCATTTCTGTTTCCCACCAAATGAAAACCTGACAACAGGATGCCTAAGTAACACACTCACTCTGCTGAGTGGAAGACACTGTTAAGGTGATAGCATTTCAAGCTTGTGCAGCATGTTTACACAATGTTTTAAATAGAGGTCTATCATAATCAAATCATCATATCATAAAATACTGAAATCAAGATCAAATTGATCAAGAATTACAGCTATTAATTAATCATAATTGGCATGTGATGTGTCTTGATATTATGATCTTTCTTTTTTTTTTGCTATAAAATTCAACTTTAAAGAAAGCGACACACCAGTTCAGGCTCTCATGCAGACACTGTCCTCTTACCGAAAGTGTACAGACATGCAAACTCATCAAGTTCCTCGCTCTATTCAAATAAACCAGCAGGGCAGCAGCAACTGAAAAGTTCTACCAAAAACAATGTCAATAAGCAGTGCCTATCACTTTACTGTTGGAGGTATTTTGTAAGCTGTAGGTGTTGTTTTCAGACCCTACATGGTTTGGTGACAAACAGCGTTGCCCTCACCGGTGCAGGTCCTGAAGTAACAAGCCATACAACAAACCAAAGAGTTGAAGGAAATCTAGAGATAACACTGAGTGTGCATTTTGGGGGACACTAAAGTTCAGAGGTTTTGCAGTTTATGGTACTTCATGTTATGCTGTACTACGTTCGGGGCCTACAGCTGTGTTCTATTTTCAGCTTTTATAGGTCACGCGTGAAAAACATTATAAATGCAGCACAAATGTGATGCCACATTACAAACGGAGCATCTGTATCAGTTGATTTATCCACTGTGCTGTCAGTGCATGGAGGTCTGTATTATCATTATTATGCAGTTATAATAATGTGTCAGTTGTAGTAATCAGCTCTGTGATTTGCTTTCACCCACTGTCTACTATTTCCCCCTGCAAGCTAGCTCGCTTCACCGTCTTTTGTAAGACCCCACCCCCGCGAACACGCACACAAACACACAGTGCAGTAAATACATGCATATTTATTTTGTGCCACAGATACAGACTGGCGTTAACTGAGCGTGGGGTTGACTTGGTTCCCTCTAGATTTTTTTGAAACTCTGTGGTTTAAAGACAAACAAGTGCTGTTTAGGCGGCCACTGTTATTATAGTTCAAATTCTGATAATCAATGTATGTGTCCATATATTTCATGTTACACTGCATCACACCATAGTCCAAACTGCTCGATGATTGTGATTAGCAGGTCATGTTCAGTATTGTGAACAGCTGTTTCTGAGCAAACAGTCGTACTGCAGGTGGTACTTCCTGTTTTTTAGTTTCACGGCTGCAGATGATCAGATGTTGAACTGTTTGCTGTATGAGGAACAAAGGGACTGCAGAGGGCTCTTTTCTATGAACTATCAATGATATTCAATGCTCTACCCTACTGCTGCTGTTTCCTGGAACAACTCCATTGATTTGGTGACTCCAATATGTGTTTCTTTTTTTTGCTGTTACTTGAAATGCATGTTTGCTTTTTAATTTTTTTAATGGCCTTTGAAAACCTTTCCTGTAATTCAGACTTACAGCAGGAAACCACACTTGGTTACTAAAAATGGGATTGTAGAGCTGCAGGTTTTCCCCTGACAGTGATGCCATATTGATTTGTTTGTATAACTGAAAGTACATTGCTACTGCACAGTTTACTCCATGTGCTCAAGATAGTATGTAATGAATGAAAGTTTTTTTTCTCAGAGAATATTTGAATGCATATTTGAACCTTTTTTTCCATCATAACTTTTCCAGATATTATATTAAAAAACTGCTTGCTTGCTTCCAGACATATATCCCTTACATCAGAGAAGGCATAGGCATTAAAACATGTCATCAGTTATTGCATGACTGCAATTCACATAGACTGTCGTCCTTTTCACATTAACTCTATAGTTGGAATTGAGTTAGCCACGTGATAACAACAACAAAATCTTTTTATCACTTAAAATGGGCATGCATGATGCACACTGAGGTACGCTGGTACCTAAAAATAACAACGCTGCAGTGAAGCAGAGAGCGGTCCCCTGTTACAGCGATATGGGAACGCCTCTGTGTTCATTATTGTGTACTTTGGTCACAGTTTTAACATCTGGATAGAGCTGAGTCCATTCCATTCCATATTGGAAAGCTGAAGTTCTGACATTAATCCTGACCTCGAGATTTACTGTGGAAAGGGCTGCTGCTTCAAGCAGAAAGTAGTTTCTTGGCAGCTTTACCGAGCCTTTTAAGTACTTTTTACTATGTGGATTTTTTGTTTTTTTGTTTGTTTTTCAGCTGAAATTATTGTCAGTCATATATTTTTGCATGGCATAAACTAAAGTCTCGCACTTACCGGTCTGATCCCCTTTGAATGTATAATGTTTGCGTGAAAGCCGTCTGAACCAGTGTTTATGACCTTATGTTATTCATCTGTTGTGGGGGATATTCAACCTTTAGAACCACATTTAGACATTGCTATTGACAGATTCTAATGAAGTCATTTCTGGAAATGAGTATGTTTCCCTATGCAAAAATATACCATTAATAAACATGCTATTCTAAAACTCAGCCAGCAGGCTCTGTGTTTGTTCATTCATTCATATCTGCTGTTATTATAATGAGAATGATTTATTAGTGGACCTCCAACAGACCTCCAAATGTGAAGATCTCTTTTGAAGAGAAATTTGAAATGATCATCCCATTTCCAAAAAAGTGGTGACACTGTGTAAAGTGTAAATAAAACCATGCTATAAATTGCAGTTCTCGTAAACACACTCTGCATTTACAATAGACTCTCAGATTTAGCCATTCTTATATTTTGCTTGTTCTTATGTTATTGTATTTTTGCACACCTCTGTTGCTTGTGAAGCTTGCACACAAGAATTTCACTCACATGTACTGTACCAGGGTACCTCCACATGTGATGTGACAATAAAAGTGATTTGAGTTGATTTAGAGCATAAAACACACATCAAAGGAAGTAAAAAGGTTATTTTGGATGTCTGAGAACTGAGGAGAACCATTGGTGGTAAATGGACTGGTTCTTTTCTACTCTACAGGGAGTGCAGAATTATTAGGCAAATGAGTATTTTGTCCACATCACCTCTTCATGCATGTTGTCTTACTCCAAGCTGTATAGGCTCGAAAGCCTACTACCAATTAAGCATATTAGGTGATGTGCATCTCTGTAATGAGAAGGGGTGTGGTCTAATGACATCAACAGCCTATATCAGGTGTGCATAATTATTAGGCAACGTCCTTTCCTTTGGCAAAATGGGTCAAAAGAAGGACTTGACAGACTCAGAAAAGTCAAAAATAGTGAGATATCTTGCAGAGGGATGCAGCAGTCTCAAAATTGCAAAGCTTCTGAAGCGTGATCATCGAACAATCAAGCGTTTCATTCAAGATAGCCAACAGGTTCGCAAGAAGCGTGTGGAAAAACCAAGGCGCAAAATAACTGCCCATGAACTGAGAAAAGTCAAGCGTGCAGCTGCCAAGATGCCACTTGCCACCAGTTTGGCCATATTTCAGAGCTGCAACATCACTGGAGTGCCCAAAAGCACAAGGTGTGCAATACTCAGACACATGGCCAAGGTAAGAAAGGCTGAAAGACGACCACCACTGAACAAGACACACAAGCTGAAACGTCAAGACTGGGCCAAGAAATATCTCAAGACTGGTTTTTCTAAGGTTTTATGGACTGATGAAATGAGAGTGAGTCTTGATGGGCCAGATGGATGGGCCCGTGGCTGGATTGGTAAAGGGCAGAGAGCTCCAGTCCGACTCAGACGCCAGCAAGGTGGCGGTGGAGTACTGGTTTGGGCTGGTATCATCAAAGATGAGCTTGTGGGGCCTTTTCGGGTTGAGGATGGAGTCAAGCTCAACTCCCAGTCCTACTGCCAGTTTCTGGAAGACACCTTCTTCAAGCAGTGGTACAGGAAGAAGTCTGCATCCTTCAAGAAAAACATGATTTTCATGCAGGACAATGCTCCATCACACGCGTCCAAGTACTCCACAGCGTGGCTGGCAAGAAAGGGTATAAAAGAAGAAAAACTAATGACATGGCCACCTTGTTCACCTGATCTGAACCCCATTGAGAACCTGTGGTCCATCATCAAATGTGAGATTTACAAGGAGGGAAAACAGTACACCTCTCTGAACAGTGTCTGGGAGGCTGTGGTTGCTGCTGCACGCAATGTTGATGGTGAACAGATCAAAACACTGACAGAATCCATGGATGGCAGGCTTTTGAGTGTCCTTGCAAAGAAAGGTGGCTATATTGGTCGCTGATTTGTTTTTGTTTTGTTTTTGAATGCCAGAAATGTATATTTGTGAATGTGGAGATGTTATATTGGTTTCACTGGTAAAATAATTGAAATGGGTATATATTTGTTTTTTGTTAAGTTGCCTAATAATTATGCACAGTAATAGTCACCTGCACACACAGATATCCCCCTAAAATAGCTAAAACTAAAAACTACTTCCAAAAACATTCAGCTTTGATATTAATGAGTTTTTTGGGTTCATTGAGAACATGGTTGTTGTTCAATAATAAAATTATTCCTCAAAAATAAAACTTGCCTAATAATTCTGCACTCCCTGTATATGCACAAAAGAGCGTTTTAAGCCTAATCTTAAAAGCAGATCGTGTCTGTCTCCTGAACGCAAACTGGGAGATGGTTCCATAGAAGAGGGCACTGAAAACTGAAGGCTCTCCCTCCCATTCTGCTTTTAAACACTCTTGGAATGACAAGTAAGTCTGAGAGCTGTATTGGAGTCCTTACCATACTATAAGGTCTTTAAGACAAAACGGGGCCTGATTATTCAAGATTCTTCAAGATTACTCAAGGTAGGACTTACCTACCTGAAAGCAATTTCTATCATTATAGCATATGGCTTTTTAAAACTAAACTAAATTAAATGTATCACACTATCACCGTGTGGGTCGCTGTGTTCTGTTTCCACTGTGGCCAGCAGGTGGCGGTGTCGGTACCAGGCTTCATGTCTGCCGTCCACCATTAAAGCGTAGAACAAAAAAAGGACCATATGTTCCGTTTGTACGGTTGGCGCCTGAAAAGCGCCAAATTGAAAGATACCAAACACTACTGATCCAGCTGACTGATGAAAACCAGCATCACTCAGAAATACTCTGATATACGAACCTTTAACGTTGATCGATGTTCTGACTCGTCACAGCGGCACCGCAGGGAAAGACGGTTTTTGTCATGGAGGAGCTCTTCAACAAAGTGTTGCAGGTTAATGTCAGATGCAGGGACTGCGAGGAAAGGTAAGCCTGTGCACACGGACACGGACGCACTATTTAAACAGCTTGGTTTGAAGTTACACCTGACGAGAAGAATAATTACGGTTATTCTGTCGGCACACACGAAACCTCCCCATCCTGACTGCGGCAAACAGCTGTCGGTCCAATCCAACCGGGGAAAACAAACAAACGTGTTGCACAGACTAATGCAAAGCACGTTAATATTAATCAAATGAATGACAACGCAAAGCGTACTGCAAATCCAAGAGTTTCTCAAGGCAAAGAAATGGGATATTCTTGAATGGTAAAGTTAGTCGGCTGTTCTCAACCCAGCAGCATGTTTTTCAGTTACAGAAGACAACGCTGAGAGATTCAGAGACAAACAGCTGGAGGCCTGGCAGAGCATCTCAAGGCAACATGTAGTGGTGTCCGTGGGTTTGACTTTAGCTTGTCTAATTATGTTTGAGCCTCTGAAAACGGCAGTCTATGTATGCAAACTGCTGTGTGTCCTAAGCAGTTTCTGCAGGTAAACCCCTGAATTAAAACTAAATGTCTTCACTTTAGGTGCATCTGGATTGTTTGATTTAAAATCCACCCTGGTGGGTTACAGAGACAAAATCACAAAAATGTGTCTTTGTCAGAATACTTGTAATGTAAATATACACAATAATGGAAACAGAGTAGAACTTTTTTTTTGTGCATTTTGGGTTTTGGTAACCATTCAAAATTCTTTTACTGTACAAGTGTGCAATTATGCTTCACATACACAAACAGTTGTGAGAGAACACATCTGTATATTGAACCAGATGGTGCTCTGACAGCAATGTTCACTGCAGCAGTACCAGCGAAGTTCTGATGGTAAATTAGACACAGGAAAAGATTACTGGCATAGATGAAAATGAAGGGCGGACACTTAGTGCTAACAGCACAGTGTTTTAATATTTTGGCATACTGAAAGGTAAAGGCAGGTGACATGCTAATGTTGTTAGCAGCCTTCATAAGTTACTTCACATAAGGGTAAGTGAGCCTTTGTGAATGCTGCATGGAAAGCATTGCAGAATCAGAAGCAAGTGTTAGTGTATTTTGCAAACATTTATGGGAAAATGAAACATTTTCATATTCCTGTCTTTATTCTGTTCGTGGATTTTTGAAATGAGGTGAACACTGAAATACAAGTTCACATAGGACTTATTGAGTCACCAAACATCATGTTTAATTGCTTCATTTTACAGAAAAGCAAATATTCGTGTCACAATTGAACTTCAGCTGACAACAAGTCCAGTGCACAAAAGAGTGAGTGGGACGTTTTATCGTTTTAAAATAAAGAGAGAACTATACTATATACTACACTACACTTACATTATATCATTTAACATTTCCTGTTCTTTACATATTACATTAGGATCTTCTAGTACGGATAACAGATGATATAGATCCATATTTTCTCTTCAACCTTGCAATATCAGAAGAGGATTTCCAAAGGTAAGTGTAAAAAGATTTGTATGAAGTAGTGTGTTGTGTTAGAGTTAAGGGACAAAGCATCTTCAATATTAACTAATGTCATTTGTGTTTGAATTGTTGTGTAGCTTGAAAGTCCAACAGGGTCTACTGATCGATTTTGCATCATTTCCTCAGAAGTTTATTGACCTGCTTAACCTGTGCATTTCCGAACAAACGTCAGACAGTCCAAGGTATGAAGAAAACCAACACATGACATCACACTGTTTGAATAAGCTAAGCAAATATATGCCATAAATATATTTTTGTTGTTGTTGTTGTTTTTTTTGGGGGGGGGGTTGTTTTGTTTTATTTTACTTATCTATGTTTTGTTTTATTTTACATATCTATATATACAGTGGGGCAAAAAAGTATTTAGTCAGCCACCGATTGTGCAAGTTCCCCCACTTAAAATGATGTCAGAGGTCAGTAATTTGCACCAGAGGTACACTTCAACTGTGAGAGACAGAATGTGAAAGAAAAATCCATGAATCCACATGGTAGGATTTGTAAAGAATTTATTGGTAAATCAGGGTGGAAAATAAGTATTTGGTCAATAACAAAAATACAACTCAATACTTTGTAACATAACCTTTGTTGGCAATAACAGAGGTCAAACGTTTACTATAGGTCTTTACCAGGTTTGCACACACAGTAGCTGGTATTTTGGCCCATTCCTCCATGCAGATCTTCTCGAGAGCAGTGATGTTTTGGGGCTGTCGCCGAGCAACACGGACTTTCAACTCCCGCCACAGATTTTCTATGGGGTTGAGGTCTGGAGACTGGCTAGGCCACTCCAGGACTTTCAAATGCTTCTTACGGAGCCACTCCTTTGTTGCCCGGGCGGTGTGTTTTGGATCATTGTCATGTTGGAAGACCCAGCCTCGTTTCATCTTCAAAGTTCTCACTGATGGAAGGAGGTTTTGGCTCAAAATCTCACGATACATGGCCCCATTCATTCTGTCCTTAACACGGATCAGTCGTCCTGTCCCCTTGGCAGAAAAACAGCCCCATAGCATGATGTTTCCACCCCCATGCTTCACAGTAGGTATGGTGTTCTTGGGATGCAACTCAGTATTCTTCTTCCTCCAAACACGACGAGTTGAGTTTATACCAAAAAGTTCTACTTTGGTTTCATCTGACCACATGACATTCTCCCAATCCTCTGCTGTATCATCCATGTGCTCTCTGGCAAACTTCAGACGGGCCTGGACATGCACTGGCTTCAGCAGCGGAACACGTCTGGCACTGCGGGATTTGATTCCCTGCCGTTGTAGTGTGTTACTGATGGTGACCTTTGTTACTTTGGTCCCAGCTCTCTGCAGGTCATTCACCAGGTCCCCCCGTGTGGTCCTGGATCTTTGCTCACCGTTCTCATGATCATTTTGACCCCACGGGATGAGATCTTGTGTGGAGCCCCAGATCGAGGGAGATTATCAGTGGTCTTGTATGTCTTCCATTTTCTGATGATTGCTCCCACAGTTGATTTTTTCACACCAAGCTGCTTGCCTATTGTAGATTCACTCTTCCCAGTCTGGTGCAGGTCTACAATACTTTTCCTGGTGTCCTTCGAAAGCTCTTTGGTCTTGGCCATGGCGGAGTTTGGAGTCTGACTGTTTGAGGCTGTGGACAGGTGTCTTTTATACAGATGATGAGTTCAAACAGGTGCCATTCATACAGGTAACGAGTGGGGGACAGAAAAGCTTCTTACAGAAGACGTTACAGGTCTGTGAGAGCCAGAGATTTTCCTTGTTTGAGGTGACCAAATACTTATTTTCCACCCTGATTTACGAATAAATTCTTTACAAATCCTACCATGTGAATTCATGGATTTTTTTTTTCACATTCTGTCTCTCACAGTTGAAGTGTACCTCTGGTGCAAATTACTGACCTCTGTCATCATTTTAAGTGGGGGAACTTGCACAATTGGTGGCTGACTAAATACTTTTTTGCCCCACTGTATATTTTTTTCTGTAATAATATCTGAATGATCTACATGGGAGAGTATGTATAACTATATCTATGTGTTTCCCCAACACTGTTCATACACGATGTACATACACTACTATTATACACTCAATTTAAAAAAAAAAATTAATTTCCTCCTCTGTTTTATTTGAACTATCTCTTCCTATTGGTTAAAATGTTGTTGGAAAAGCAATAAATAAATATTTGAGAAAAAAATTAATGTATTTTATCAGCCAGTGTCATCCCTTCTCAAGTGACGCTGTGATAAAAGTAGACACGATTCTAAGATAAGATAAGATAGAACTTTATTAATCCCTCGGGTGGGTTCCTCTGGGAAATTCGGTTTCCAAAAAGCACAGCACCGACAGAAGTTACAGTTACAGAATGTTATATATATATATACACACACACACACACACACACACACACACACACACACACACACACACACACACACTTATATAAATACAGAGACCGATATAAATAAAATATATGAAGGGGATAAATAGGAATAAAAATACAAGTGAATTGCACATTTCAAGTATTGAGTCTATTGCACTGTTGACTATTTACAAAAGTATTGCATAAGGTATTGTACAGTGAGGTGAAGAGGCACTACAGCTTAGTTGTTCCCCCCTCCTTTGTCCTCCTGTCTCCCCTCCCTCTCCCCTCCAGGGAGGAGTTAAACAGTCTGATGGCGTGTGGGACAAAGGAGTTTTTAAGTCTGTTAGTTCTTGTCTTGGGGAGAAGCAACCTGTCACTGAACAGACTCTTCTGGTTGTTAATAGCCGTGTGCAGAGGATGCCCAGCATTGTCCATAATGTCCATCAGTTTCTTTAATGTCCTTTTCTCTGCCACTGTCACCAGAGTGTCCAGCTTCATGCCGACCACAGAGCTAGCCCTCCTGATCAGTTTCTCTAGCCTGCACGAGTCCTTCTTTGCTGTGCTGCTCCCCCAGCACACCACAGCATAGAAAAGTACTCCAGCAACCACCGACTGGTAAAACATCCTCAGGAGCTTCCTGCAGATGTTAAAAGACCTCAGCCTCCTGAGGAAGTACAGTCGGCTTTGGGCTTTTTTATACAGGTGCTCTGTGTTGCATGACCAGTCCAGTTTATTGTCCACCCACAGCCCGAGGTACTTGTACTTGTTGACCACCTCTACCTCCTCCCCCTCTATCTGAACCGGCAGTGGACCTTCTCTGGACCTCCCGAAGTCCACAACCAGTTCCTTAGTCTTTGAGGTGTTGAGTTGCAGGTGGTTTGTGTGACTCCATGCGACAAAGTTCCTCACCAGACTTCTGTACTCCTCTTCCTGATCATCCCAGATACACCCCATGATGGCCGTGTCGTCTGCAAACTTCTGAATGTGGCATAATTCAGAGTTGTAGCAGAAGTCAGAGGTGTACAGGGTGAAGAGAAGAGGGGACAGCACAGTTCCCTGTGGTGCTCCTGTGCTGCTGACCACAGTGTCAGACGTGATGTCCTTCAGCCTGACGTACTGTGGTCTGTCGGTGAGGTAGTCGGAGATCCAAGCCACCAGGCAGGGGTCCACCTCCATCCTGTTCAGTTTTTCCTGAAGCATACAGGGCCGGATGGTATTAAAGGCACTGGAAAAGTCAAGAAACAGGATCCTGACCGTGCCTTTTCCCCCATCCAGGTGTGAGTGGGCTCTGTGTAGGAGGTACAGGATGGCATCCTCCACTCCGACACCCGCCTTGTATGCAAACTGTAGTGGGTCCTGGGCATGTTGTCCCTGTGGTCGGAGGAGGTTGAGGAAGAGCCGCTCTAGAGTCTTCATAAGATGTGACGTCAGTGCCACCGGTCGGAAGTCATTCAGCTCATTGGGCCGGTTCTTTTTGGGGACCGGGACGATGCAGGATGTCTTCCATAGGGCGGGCACTCTCCCCAGTCGCAGACTGAGGTTGAAGACTCGTTGTAGCGGCTCCCCAAGTTCAGCAGCACCCGCCTTTAGCATCCTAGGACACACCTTGTCTGGGCCTGCTGCCTTTCTGGGGCGAAGCTTCCTCAGTTGTCTCCTGACCTGGTCCACTGTGACACTGGGAGATGTTTGGGAGGAGGGGAGGGGGGGAGATGTCTTGCTGCTGAGAGAGGGATTGGAGGAGGGGGGTGTCATGGTGTCAGGAAGGGGGGGAAGCGAGGGAGGTAGTAGAGTGGGGAGAGGACTCTGTAGTAAAGGTGAGGGTGAGCCTTGGAATTTGAAATTGGTGAACGATAAAGTTGCTTGCTGCACGTCCCTATGCTCATCATTAAGTATCACTGGAATATTTAAAAACATTACAAATATGTCCTACTGACTTAGTAATTTGAAAGATATAAATTAAACCCTTTTGCACAGACTAACTGTTGTCCTTTCCACAGATTTCTTCTTCATTTGTCATGTCAGTCTCCAGTGCTAGAAGGTCCCGCCAACTTCAGTGTCATAGAGACAAACGCATTTAAGCACCTTAACCACTTGTCTTTACGACTTTCTCAAGCTTCTGACAAAGAGGTTAAAGATTACCTGGCAGTTTGTCTCTCCTCTCTGAAGGTTGGTTCCATTTAGCTTCTTCATACTTTATGCCACTCATCAAAAAAACAACCCTTTAAATAAATACCAAATTTTAATGTTAGTTCATGTAAGTAAAACGTTGTCATGTACATGTTAAGTGTAGTTGTTAATCCCAAAGATGGGAGCTTGTATTGCTTGGGTGGGCTTCATGTTTTCAAGCTTACTTGTATTTTAGCTTTAGTTTAGTTTGATCAGCTGAAGGCAACGTGTATATATATTATATAAAAACATTTGTTTGAATATAATTGTCTAGTCAAATAATTATTTTGTTTTTCAGAGCAAAACTGAGTTTTAACAGGTTTTGTCATGTTTGTGTCATTTTTTGTTGTTTCAGGCAGAGAAGCATGCCCTAGAAATGAAGCTTAAGACGACTGAAGATGATCTGACCAGGCAGCTGAATTATGCTCAACAGGTGTGCATTATTTTTATTTTTTAAGATATGATACAGCTTACTTACGTACTCAGTTTAGTAGTTCTTGCGTTACAGCAATTAATGTTAAGCGAAACTTTTGTGATTTTTCTTTAATAGAAATTTCAGTTTATTTATTAATAAACTGCCCATTTATTGATTTTTTTTCATGTAATTTCTTTTTATTAAACAAAAGTTGAACAATTATTTTGTATGCGGTCAAATATAGCAAGGAAAACTGGAATCTGCAAAGTTGTAATTATCAGATCAACATTTAAAAAGAGTTCCACAAAGCGTTGTCCACGGTGTGTTCTATGTAACTATAACATGCAGCTGAACAAGTGATCATATGTGGATCATAGACGCTGTCTGAGAAGACCAAAGAGTTGGACAAACTGCGCTCAGAGTGGACGACTCAGACCAGCTCGCTGTCCAGCCTTCATTCTCAGGAGCTGCAGCTGGAGAGAGACAAGGCTCTGGAGGCAAGACTTCTCTTTTAATCAGCACAAATTCATCAGCTATGTTTTTAATATGGGTATTAATGTCAAAACAAGCTGTGCACAGCGCCGTGTCTAAGGAAGCTCGGCAGGATAGAAGTTATTTTACCTGACTTGGAGCAAAGAGCAGCTAAAAAAACATATTTGGAGAAAGAGCATCTCTCCACAGATTTGTGATCTGTTTAAAAAAAACATAGTCACACAAGTAAAATGTTATTTCCTAAAAAGTTACAAGGTTTTGTTTAGATTCCAGGTTTTCAATTTTGAGTTGTAGAGTACTATGGTGTGTACATTACTCAGTACTTTGTTGTACTTCTTTATGCCAACGTATCAAACGTAGAAAATGGAAAACAAATCTATTAAACTTTATTAGTTTAAATCATTATAATTCATGAAATTACTTAAAAATAATTGTTCAAAGCAAGTCTACGGAAGAGGATTAGGGCCACTGGAAAAAAATCTGAGAAAAAAGTCAGAATTCTGACTTTAATCTCAGAATTCTGAGAAAAAAAAGTCAGAATTCTGACTTTTTCATCAATTTTTTTTTCAGAATTCTGACTTTAATCTCAGAATTCAGGAAAAAAAAAAAAAAAAAAAAGAGAGACGTGCCCACTTTTTTTCCCCCAGTGGCCCTATTCCTCTTCCGTACAAGTCAGCTCATATTTTAGATGGCAAGTGCTTAAAAAGCATGCGATGTAAATATTTGTGTGGTTATTGTAGGGCTCGAGGTTGACCTAGTCAGGGTCAAATTACTGTGACATTAACATGGAACTTCAGATTAGCTCCCTTAGCTTATGCTACATTTTTGTTAGTTGTGTTTTGCATTTACTACCTTCTTGTATGTAAAGTGGGAGAAATGAACCTTTAAAAGTGATACAAACACGTACTATGTGATCCACGAGTTTAAACTAAGATTTACAAGTGTGTGCAGTGATATGTTTGCATTGTTAATTTTGACAGCAAATTTTAAACTAGTTTTAATCGGTCGTTTGAATAAAGTGTCAATTAGTAGTAGTAGATTTAATCTGATGTTGATTCAGCGACTAAAATATAAAGTGTAGAAGTCGCTTTTTCATCGCTCTACACAGTTTTTTAAAAGCATCTTACGTATATTCATTGACATCTTATGTTGTAAATTTGCCCTCTACAGTCTCTTATTCTTGTTCTTTATTTTATATACTTAGCTTTTTGTCTCAAGCTCTTTCTGCCTGCCACTTCCACGCTGCTGGAACACATGAATTTCCCCAATGAGGGACAATAAAGGATATTTCTGTTCTATTCTGCATGACAGTGTGAAATTTGTCTCAAAACCTCATGTGGGCATGCAGTGTGGTATCGGTGCGTTTCAGGCAATTCGTTCACATGCATTAAATTTTTTAATAGTGAGCAAGAGGGCTGTTACATGTATTTTCAGATTCGTAAGCACTGAAGGATTTATTCAGGTTTATGTGTGCACATTTATGTCGTTTTCCGTGTGATCAGATTTCTTTGTATCTGTTTGTGGATCGGAGCACACATTTGTGAGCCCTCAAAAGTAGAACACAAATCACTGCACACAGTTGTAAATCTTAGTCTATGCTTGTGGGTCGTACCATACAAATTACTAACACTATCCTCTGCATAGTTAACAACCCTGTCACACAATATTAACCACGTGTGGAAGCAGTCATTTATTTGGAACCTTTGAAACTATAGGGATCAAAAGCAAAGCTAAAGATTGCCCTGCAGAAATGGTTGGAGATTGTTTGTCTGTCTTCCAGTTACAGAGCAGGTTTCAGCAGCAGACAGAGCAGCTTCGTCAGGAGCTGGAGACTGCTCATAAAAAGAGCAGCCATCAGCTTAATAGTCGACTGACAGAGTTGGAGGCCTCGTGCAGAGAACTGACTGAGAAGAAATACAAGAACGAGTCTGCCATCCGAGACCTGAAGATTAAACTAGTTGGTGCAGACGAGGTAAGTGAATGTTTAGGATGAGGAATTATTGCGTCCAGGTGACTTGCTCTTAATGTTTGAAACTTTATTATAATTTGTGTATTGGCAGCAGATATAAATTTCATCCGTCCATCTTCTGTAGATCATCCTATCATGGGGGCAGCGGAAGCCGTGCTGAAAGCTCCCCACAGCAAGAGAATGCTGTTGATTATTTTCTTTCTCTTTCATATAGGAATGCCAGCATTTAAAGCAGCAGGTCCTGTCTCTCAGGAGGGAAAACAGCACCCTGGACGCAGAGGTCCATGAAAAGGACCGTTTGGTGAGCCAGATGCAGATGAGAGTGGCTGTTCTGGAACAGGAGGTCAAAGATAAGGATCAGCTGATGAACCGCACCAAAGAAGTATTGGAAGCCACTCAGCAGCAGAAGGTAAGGAAGCCCTCGGGGACAGGGGGCATTAAGGATTCAGAATGAGAGAAATGATATGACGTTATGAATAGGAAGTCACCAGGAGTCACCGTGTACAGACGAATGGTTAGACTCAGGATGTCAGTGTTGTGCAATTCAATTTCAATTCAGTTTAATTCATGAATCCTTCTGTCTTGATGCGCGCTCAACCATCCAGGTGTGTAAATCCCAAAAGGTTGATTCTGTTCGTCTGGACGTTGTGTTTTCAGTGGGAGAAATGTTTCATCGCTCATCCACTACCAACTCTGCTGCTAACTAACTGTTATGCAGAAAATAAACATCTGTGTCAGACTGGTCCAACTTTTATGTTGGAAGTCATAACTGGTGACAAGACTTGGTATACGGTCTCAAAGCCCCGAGAATGCCTCGGGGTTGTTTTGTTTTTTTTACTATGAGAGTATAAGTGAGGTATTTGGTTGTGATGTCCGGAGGCATCTGAGGAAGAACATGTGACGCAGAGAACCTGAAATGAAGTGAACATGCAACAACTGCAACATACTAACAAACACAGCATGTTTGAAAGGTAGATGTGTTTTTGGAATCGCCTACAAAAACTTTGTTCATCAAAATAAAATTCAAGTTGACAAGCTGCTGTTTTTAGACTTACACACATGGCATTGCACGAGGGGTTGCCAGGGGTTTATCTAAAAATGAAGAGGTGCAGCAGAAGACTACCCTGATGGAGGCCAAATTTAAATCAGGATTGTTCATCAAGCCTTCAAGGTTTTTGTTTTTTGTTTGTTTGTTTAATAAAATTTTGCCCTTCTGATATTTTTAACCAGCTTGCTTTTTGTTATAGGAATCAGTGGAAGAAAATGCAGAAAGTAAGGAACTTCAGATTCGAAAACTTGAAGCTACGGTGAAATCACTTTCTGAGGAGCTGATAAAGGTTTGTCAGTTTGTGTGTTTGTGTTCAAAACTCACAGTTTTTATCCTTCAAGCTCAAGTCCTTGGGCCTTGGAGCACAGAATCTTTGCTATATCTTCTAGACGGAGATCTTTGATGTTGTTTAGGGATCTGCTGGAACCACTGGCACAGTTTGGGGTCACTGCCTCAAGTGCCTCCTCGGTTAGCACGGGGACCACTGCTGCCTTGACCTTCCACATATTGGGGTCTTGGCAGTGCATAGGTTCGTCAGTCTAGTCTTACATTCTCGAGTGACTTCTCTGTCTACCAGTCGCTGGTGTTTTTGCTCCTTGGTATTTGGTACTGGGACCGATCCATTCTTGGGGATCCTTGGGATCAAGATATTCCAGTCTTCGGGTAGCCATTCTGGGCGTCTCAGTCATTAGCCATTGTTTTGTATTTTATATTTCAAGCACTCAAGACTTTTATATAAAAGGTTTTGGAGAAGATTTCAGACATGCATCTGAATGGAGGTTTTAAGGTTGTTGTTTTTTTTTATTTCACATATGTAAATCTAAATAATGAAATATATTTTAAACAGAAAACGAAGTAGAAAAAAATCTAATTGCTACTAATATCTCTGATATATACGTGCTCAAAAAGGAGTAGGATGAAGTTTACACTTTCTTTTTAGTCCTTCCCCGCTCACATTCACTCCTGTGGGGAATTTAAAATCACAGATTGACCTGTGCATGTCTTTGGACTGTGGGAGGAAGCCGGAGTACCCGGAGAAAACCCATGCAGACATGAGGCAAACATGCAAACTCCACACAGTAAGGCAGTGGCCAGATGGTGGATTTAAACCCAGGAATGTGAGGCAGCAGTGCTAACCACTGCGCCACCGTGCTAGCCCTGCATCAGATTGGCACCTGTCCAGGGTGTACCCTACCTTTTACCCTATGGTAGCTGGGATAGAGAATGGATGATGGATAATTTTATATAATAATGCTGTTTAATAAATGATAACTCAGTCTTCCTTGATATAACATATAATCAGAAAATATAAATAACTATTTATGAGTCACAGTACAAAGTCAGAGAACCTCCCTTTGACTTTGACCTTTGGCTGTAATTGAGAGTATTTCTGTATTTTCCATGTAATTTTATGTGCCATATTAAATGTAATTAAAAATTAATTTTACATTTTTTGACAGATGAATGCAGTTAATCTTTAAAACACTGGTTTTCATTTTAGAAAGCACAATCAGCAGTTCAACTTAAAAGACCTGTTTTTTCTTTTTAAAATCTTTATTGTTGCTCATTAACAAGAAAAAAGTATTTTTTATCCAGTTAATCGATAGAATACTCGATTACTAAAATAAATGGTAGTTCCAGCCCTTGGCAGTGCTTTCGCAGCCTGTAGGGAGCAATGAATAGCCCATCTACCTGCAGTGAGCCAGTTGGAGGCGATGGTTGTAGCTGTGGGCGACTCTTGTTTGTGCTGTTGATGGTCTTCCAGCCAGCTGCATAGAAGAGCAAAGTTATAACAGATGAACAGATGCGCTGAAAAGAATGAAGACGTGTCCCCTGTAGCTGTTACGTGTGCTTTTCATTATCTCTTTTCTGGTCTTTGATGTTTTTCATGCTTCTTCCGTTCCCTGTAAGCTCCAGAACAAGAGACGTGCACCACTCCCTTTTCTGGTTCACTTCTCACCCAACAGCATTCAGCCTACTTAGTTTGGGGGGGACTACACAGGACCATGTTTTCAAAGCTTGAGAACTTTTCTCCCCATGCAAATGGGCACAACCACTGTAGTATAAAATGAGCAATATGCAGGAATGCCCTACACAGTGAACCACATCCTGTTTTATAGGGTGTTGCTTATACTGATATTGGTTGCTTTGGAAAGAAAGTGAACGGACTGCATCTCTGTTATAGGGAAAAAATAGAAGTTGTGAGTTTTGAAAATGATCAACTCCTCTTTTTGATCTATCCTTTTTTTCTTTTATACATACAGGCTAACGGTATCATTAAGAAGCTGCAAGGAGAAGTTCGAACCTTAGTAGGAAAAATAAAAGTCAAAAACACTGTGACAGTGTCGCAGGAAAAGATTCTCCAGGAAACTTCAGAGAAACTTCAGAGTGTTGAAAAGGATCTACAAAGCGCTCAGCAGCAGCTCAACACTAAGGAAGAACAGGTATGTCACAGACTGAAGCCTTTTCTTTTGGTAAAGCAGTAAAGGAGATCTCATCAGTCAAACCAGTAAATCAGTACAAGTACTTTAAAAAAATACAAAAAGAAAAAGTACAGTACTGTGTGAACTGTGTCCTTTTAAATGCAAGTGAGCATAAAATAAAATAACAACCTGAACTATCGATACTAGGCGAGATGGATCCGTCCTTTCATGTCATTCTGTCTCTGCCATCCAAATGTCAGAGCAGAAATTGAGACTTATTAGACCAGGCGTTGTTATTCCAATATTCTGCTGTCCAGATTTGGTGAGCCTGTGTGAAATGTAGCCTCAGGTTCCTGACAAGAATAACAACCAGTGCAAAATATTCTTTTTATTTTTCAGATTTTAAAATTAAATGAGCAGTTGGAGGCCACGGTACAGAAGCTAAATGAAACCAAAGAAGTGCTGAAAACTAATGAGAATGGTAAGGAAGCTAGTCCTGTTCAATGGACCCTCTGAAAACTGACTTTCATGTCTTCAAAATCGTTAAGGTTTACAAATCCAGCAAAGCTTCTCAATCCATCAGTGTTTATGGAGTCCACTTCCATATGGCGACGTACACTACAACTACATTTTATTTATATAGCGCTCGTTAACAACAACAGTTGTGATTTGGCAATATTAGAAACACCAACAATCACACAACCATTAGCAAGAAATTGATGACAGTGGGAAGGACCAGGCTCAGCCATCTGCAGAGAGATGGGGGGAAGGGGAAACTATAGATGAGTGAAGAAGAAACACTATGTCTTTGCTTAGCCAGATTAATTAAATAGCATCTTATTTCTTAGTGTAAACTTTGTGAGCTTTATCCAAAGCACAATCTGTTGATTCACCCGCTAATTGTATTCACAGTGATTTGCCTGCCTAGCCTAGCTTAGCTTGTAGCCAACTCGCTAGCAGCATGGCCTCTATACCTGTCCCTCCTGCAGTTTCCTGCTCAGTGTGTCAGATATTTAGTTACTCCTCTGCCTCCTTTTGTAATAACAATACTTGTAGTAAATGTAGCCTTTTTGCAGCTTAGGCTGACCTCACTTCAGACCCTTGAAAAGACATAGTTGTCTTCCAGGGGCCAGAGCAGGTGACATTCAGGGAAATTTTTAAACTGCTGGTTAAAGTTAAATGTACATTTTGTAAAATTATAATTCACGTCAACAGTAATGACACCTGGTTGCATCAATCGAAGGTAACTAAATGAATATTGAATTGGGGACTAACTTTACCAAAACAATCTTGGGCTTAGTCATTTTCTCTGGTACCCTCCTTAATCGGACCAGGAGTGACATTTTTAGGCACTTATTTCCCTTTGATTGCTGGCTGTCTGAGTAGTAAAAAATCAGTGGGCTCTAAAGATGATTGGGAAACTTTCAAGTCACCTTTATTTAAATAGCACATTTAAAAGACATCAAGTGTCGGCCAAAGGGCTGAACAGAGGGATGATATGATAAAAAAGAATTAAAAATGTACACAAGCACACATACGTGAACATAAAATACATGTATACGTATACTCATGCAAACATCATCCAATGAGAAGACCAGAATAGCTAAAACAGAATAAAAGTGGTGTCAGAGAGATCTGAAAGCCTTGGAAAATAGTATTCAGATTCTATTTGATGACTTCCAAGGACAAAGAGGATTCAGGGGAAATCTGGTCTTTTTAGACAGCATCCACCCCATTGTGGATGGAGGAGCTCTCATTTCTAGAAATCTGGACAAATTTATTAAAACCCCCAGAACATGATGGGTTGGGACAAAGCAACAGAGATTCATTTGTCTTACACGCCTCTCTGCAGCTTCTCTCCAAAACCCATCCCCTTAGATGCTGCGTCTGCCTCCTTCTGAGTCCCTGTTTATACATGAATCAACAAATTGATTTACATTTTGTCATTATGGAATATTGTCTGTAGAATTTTGAGGTGAAAAATGAATTAATTCCATTATTGAATAAGTCATAACATAAAAAACATTCTTTCCAGATGCACTGTGAGTATCTGCTCCTTGCCTTGGCTGCCTTGATAAATGTGTGAATGACAAATAATTTGTATTGTGAATAGCAATCTCATTCACATTATGAAAGTTGCTATTTAAGTGTAGCACATTTACTAGTGTGTTTATTTTCATTTTACCACAGTTATAAATTGGCTTAACAAGCAGCTAAATGAAAAGCAGCTGTCCAGAAAAGCACGGGGTCTGGAATCACTGGAGAATCCTGCAGTCTCAACCACAACAGCAGGACTTGGGGTAGGTGACAACATACTGATGGTGTTTATTCTTCATCCTTCCTCTTAGATATTACTACAAGCTTCATTCCTATTGTGCCATTCAGCTCAATATAAATATGTTTTGTGTCATTGAGTGAGAGATTATGGCAGGAAGAGACGGCAAAGCAAGAAAATTTCAATTTGGTCAGTTTCTTTCTTGAAGCAATGCTTGTTGGCAATAAATGTTATATTGTTGGAAAGCCTGTGTAATTGCTGTTACACTAAATGGTGTGTGAGAAAAATGCATTTGCAGGTTGAACAGCAGCACTGGGCATGTGGGTTGCGCCACATTTATTAGATTGGGTGATTGAAGTCTGAGACATATCGGCATTTAGCAATTTATTCATTCAACAAAAAGGGGCCTCAGTAGCATGTGGAAGGACCGTACACAGCCACAACAGCCTGGCACCACCTGCACCACCTCCTTATGCCGGTCACCTGCTCAGTCACACACCTATATGGAATGGCATCCCATTCTTTTTTTGTACGCTACTTAATTACGCACAGAAGACAGTAATTTATTAACTATTCATTATATTAGATTCGAACTTCTCCATTAAATGACCTGAAACGAATTGTCATTTAACAATATACACATCAACATGAGCCTATGAATCTAATAATCCACCCTGGAAGTAATAAATGCAGAAAAGATTTGGTGGGTTTTTCGTGGGTTTGACCAACAAATGCATTATTCACAAGAAGCATTGTTACAATAAAGAAATAATCAATTCAAAACAATCACGTCTAGTTTAACATAAGCTTAGAGAATGACGGGATGCCTGAGAAAGAGAAGTAGCGTACTGGGACAAATGTTTAAGAAAGCAGGTGAAGAGCTGTAGTAACTACAGAGAGAGAAAGCTGCGCCAAGGGAAAGAGTTGTTGAAGCTAAGTTAATAAGAGGGGCGATGATCAGTGAGCAGCAGTTTGCTTTCAGAGTGCTGATGGAGAAGTAGAGAGGTCTGAAGGGGCTTCACTGTGTCTTTGTGCAACAGTCTTATGTTTGCACATTATAGCAGATCAACAGCACTAACACCACCTGAAGATATCTCTGTATTTTTTCTGGCACTTCAGTTTTATCCTCAGACAGCCAAACCTGTTGTATCTCCCATGGCGGCTGCTGGGATCAATCTTACTGATGAGCATCTCGGGAAGTCATCAAACAGACAGATGTGAGTTTGTTGACTTAGTATGACTGAGTATACATTACACTCAAAGACAAATGAGCCAAAGTAAAACTGTGCAATTTATAAAATGTATTATCTTTGAGTAATGGAAGTATTTAGACACATTTATTGATATATGTTATTTTTTTATTGGTATTCATTTATTGTAATTAATCTCATATCAAATGTGAATATAAAGAAAAAAATGTTAGTATAACTGAATTTAGTGCACTTCTCAGACATAGGTTGGGTCTAGCTCAGGAGGCAGAGCAGGTCATGTACTAATTGGAAGCACTACACCGGTGAAAATCCAGGAAGTGGACATTGAGATAGTGGACTCTTATAGGTACCTGGGTGTTCACCTGAATAATAAGCACTGTTTTATGCAGGTATAGGCACAAAATCTCACTAACTTTCCTGTAAAAGTTTGCTACAGATACTATCTGGTCCATTTCTGTCTGATATTGTACTTTTGTGTACAAATGAAATACACTTCCCTATCATTATAGCTGTCTCTCTTGCTTTAGCAGGGAAGGAAGAAGTTTAAGGTCTCTATCCAGGCTGATAAATGTGTTTCTTTATAGCAGTATGCAATTTACAGCAGTTATATATTTAAAATGATTTTGATTCCACGACAATACCAGTGGTAGAACAACAAACTCTTTTTGTTTGTTTGCTTTAAATGTTCATTGTGAATATGTCTCTTTGGTCAGGAATGCAAAGTGATTTTGTGTTCCTCAGGCTTGTGTTTTCTCTTTGTCCTTAGTGGAGACTCTGCTGGTCTGGATTCGAAGTACTTTGAGAAGAGAGATGATTGCATCTCGATCTATGGTCTTTCATCTAATCCACGTCAAAGAGGTAAAAGTGCTCATCTTTTAAAGATCAGCATCTACCACATATTAATTTCAGTGCGTCAAGTTTTTCATTTCATGGCTTAGTAGTGTAACTCTTTTTTTTGGGATGCAGCAGTAAATCTGTGGGGCAACAACGCTAATTTAGGTGCCTTTAAAAAAAAAAATACGAAGAAAAAATTGTTTTTTTGATTGAGATGCTGAATGTGTGTGATAATAAGTAACAGTAATTTGATTCTGTTTGCTTGCTTTGTGTTCAGAGTTTCCTCAGAGTACAAAGCCATCTATAGCTTCAGCTTACTTCTCTGCATAAAACAGAAGTTTCAGGATCTGCAGAAAGATTACAATGGAAATGGACTTAAAACCATCAAGTCACGTCTTCGGCTCTTGCACAAAACTGCTACTGTTGCATTAAATAAATTTGTTTTAATGAGTGATTCTTATGGTTAATTCTAGTGATCACTGAGAATGTATTATTGTATGTGAAATAAAATTGTTCTGTTTTTCTTATGTTTTTGCCCCAAACTGTGTTTTACTGTATACAGTGTACTCTTGAATAAACAACTTTTCCAGTCTCACTTCATTTCTGGATATCTTAAAATTGATCCAATATCGCATTTAGTATAATGTCCAAAATAAAAATATGTGCTTTCTGCTGGGTTTTTTTGTGTTTAGTAATATTCTATCCTCAAATCAGTTTACCTTCAATTTACAAAATGTGAACCATACACCAACCATTGTACATATAGATTCGCATTTGATACCTTTGCCCATAGCTGAGTGCATCATTGCTGCTGCCAGCATCATAATGGAATTAAATAGATGCCAAATCAAACCAAACTTCAGAACTGCTGTTCTGAGTCTGCTGATTCTCAGAAATAACAATCATTGTGCTTACTCCAGCTTCAAGTAGTCAACACCTCGATGGTTTATTTTGTATGCACTATATTTTGGCACATTGCATGCAGAACAACCATGTTCTTTATTTGGCAATGTTCAGCTAATTCTGGATTAGTTGTGTGGGCGGTGAGGAAGAGGCCAGGGGCAAATAGGGTGGAGAGCTGGGTCAGGATTGACTAGGAATCCGTGACATGGATAAATGCAGCGCAGTAGGGGGTGAAATGACCCTTTACCCTTGCCACCAGTAGGAGGAGGGCCATGACCATGGTCGTGAGCATGTGGAGGGGGCCGTGAGCATGTGGAGGGCGTCCTCCTTTGCCAGCATCTGGAGGGGGGCCATGACCATGGTCGTGAGCATGTGGAGGAGGGCCATGACCATGGTCGTGAGCATGTGGAGGGCGTCCTCCTTTGCCAGCATCTGGAGGGGGGCCATGACCATGGTCGTGAGCATGTGGAGGGGGGCCACGACCATGGTCGTGAGCATGTGGAGGGGGGCCACCATGACCATGTGGATGACGTCCACAGACAGGCTCCTTCTCACCAGGCCCAAGGGCAGTGGTGTTCTGTTGAGAACAAAGACAACAAATGCAAGAGTTGTTTTTTTGTTGTCGTTTCTTAATAAGTTGCCATAAAAAAGGAAATTTATTGCAAAGCTGCTGTTGGTCTCACCTCTGCAGGATAGAAATCACACTCAGTGGACAGGAGTCCATTTTGACTGGAGTAAGATGAACGGCAGAAAGCATGACGCTTTAAAAAAGGAAGGATATATACAATGAGAGAACTAACAGGAATAAGCCATAAAAAAGGTATTTGTCATTTAGGGATTAGAAATGCTGGTTATCTGTATTGTTTGTATTTGATTTAATACTTCTTACAACTGTGCAGTAAATCGCTTGTTACTCTTTAACATTGTGATATAATTTTAATGGGATGTGGTACTCATGATCTCACTGAATACACACAGCTAAACACTTGACTAATTTTAGTACACAGCATATCAAAATGTGGCTCAGGATTTTCTGAAGTGTATGAGTTGTACTTACAGCTCTGTTAGGACAAAGTGGAATGCATGCCTCAATTATGATTCTAGAGCCCATTGGGCAATGAGTCTCCACAAGTACAAACTCAGGATAGTAGTTCATTCCTAATCCCATTATGTACTACAAGAAAAGAAAGTGTAAAGTTAAACAATGACTGATCTTATGAGTTCACAAAGAGGGGGAGGAAGAAAAGGATCCTCTGTACCCCAGTTGATATCCGCCCCACTTCCTTCAAGATGTAGTAATGCTGGTTACTGGTGTTCTTGTTGAATTCTGCTGTCGCTTCACGAACAGACTTGAGACCTTCAGAGTTGTTGAGAGGCAGCAGCACAGGACAGTCAGGGCAGATGCGTACCATCTCCAAGTTAGTTTTTTCTGCAAACACACAAAGAATTGTACTGAGTGTACGTTCAGAGGATTCCAAAAGTCACTCGCTGAGGCTCTTTAGCGTTTTCTGTCAAATATTCTCCCTTGCAGTCTTTCACAAGATAATGAACTTCTCCCCATGTTTACTTCCTAAAGACTCCTCTTCACTAGGATGCTTGTTTGAAATTATTTTTCAATCGTGAGTTTCTTCATTGTATTTTTTTAGCGTTACACACAAAGTATTTTGTCACCCTTGTCCCAACTTTTTTGAGACATGTTAAATGATTTAAATCCTAAATAAGCATTTTTTTAAACTAAACTTAATGCCACAGTTTTAATATTTGCTATTAGTGTACTGCTTTTACAAATGCTGTTTTTTATCTGCAGTCAAACTTAAATGACAAATTATGAAAAATGAGGAAGTTTGGCCAAAGTCTGTCTTTGGCCACATCGAGTGTGTTTTTGAACAGGCAGACCAACAGCCTTGGAGTAACAAGTAATCAAAAATGATCGTATTTGATCATATCTACAGTAGCATCTTCTCAGTGAAATGGTGAACAGCTATGATGCAGAGAGAGCCCACCTTGTCGTGTGTCACATTCATATTTGGTTATGTCGGCATCACCATCTTTTATAGTCATCAACACAGTGCAGTTGGCCTTCACTGCCTTCAGAGAAACACAGAGAATGCAGTTTTATTTCATAACATCACTGAAGTAACTTTGCATAATTTGGCCAGATTAGCACGTCCACCTTCTGACCAGAGGTGACTGTTGCATGAAGTCAGTGCAGGCAGGTGGATTAAGCAAACAGCTGCTTTGCATTTACCCGCTCTCCCATGCCACGTATTTCACAGTCCTCAAAGGGTTTCGGGTTGATAGTGTGGCATTTTGTTTCCCGAAGATCCAGCTGCAACTTTACGTTACATCCACCATCAACCTGGAAAGAGCAGAGAGTAAGACTGTCATTCATATTTACTGATGCAGTTTCCTACATCACCACAGGAACACCATGACAGACTTTAAGGATTTTTTGTCATGAAAAGCTAATGTTTGGAAAACTACAATAAACATTAATAATATTTTTTTTTTAAAAAAGAAAAACATTTCAAAAGAATTGTGGACTTGGATTTGTCACTCACTATGCTTTTATAGAACTGCTACTGTTTTTTCTACTCTCTTCTATTGTTTAAGTTTTGTCCCGCTTGTTGTTTATTATCTCTTTGCTCCTCTTGCCAAAGTGGAAATACTCAAATGTGAACTGCAAATGCGCACATTTACTGCTACTATCATACCTGTTCCACACTGTTCCCTTGAACTTCATGCAGTCTGAACTTGTAGCCATGGTCGTGATGCTCATTGATGTGATGCACTGCCTTATCTGCTGCCGCCGGACCGTTACCTTCACTGCATGTTAGTGGCTCCAAACCTGGGGCAGCGCTGCAAAGCAGGACTGCTGCCGAAAGAAGTGTCAGGACTCGTAACGTCCTCATGGTACCGCAGAGAAGACTGGAGCAGGCCACTATTACGGGGCTGTTATATAGAGTGGATTGGTTAACATATGTCAGTGGGTTAGGAAATAAATGATAAATAAATAGAAGCGACCACAAGACAAACATGAACTTTAATCAGAGGAGCTCAGCATATTTTGAAATGTTTACCGAACCAGTCAGTTTCATCACACTTCGTACACAGTCGATATTTAAACTGAAGGATGTTATTGTAGGATTTTTAGCAGCTGCAGATCTTACATTTTGTTTTTTGCTCATCATTACAATCAAAATGTTTGAAAAGAGTTCAGATTTGGCCCAACTTTGTTCATTTGATTTGTGTTTGGAATAAACCAGGGTAGCTGTTTAAACATTACTTCTATCCTAAGTTTGGCACAAGGACATGGATCTTTATCCTTTTAAGGGGTTTCCACACCCTTAAAAGTACTTAATAAAACTTTTTTGTTTCTTTTCTTTTTGTTATTTATTTTGGTTGTAAGAGGTTAAGCATATTTTTATCATTTCATTCAAATGCCAGAACACCGAGAGAGTTTTTTGTTATTTTACACCCAATGACCCAAGAGAACTCTTTAGATCAAAATAGCTTCAGACAAACTTTTACCCAGCAATGCTACAGCGTTTTTTCAAGTATAGGTGGATTACATCAAGCTGGAGGTGGTAAAAAAACATCCATGGCCAGATTTATTGCTTAATTTACTAAGAATAATAAAAAACAACAACAACAACAAAACTATTGTAATGAAGATTCAAGAAAGTGAAAAGTATAGAAGCACTTTGCATTCTCATCAGAAAAGCACCATTTAAGTGCCAGTCAGCATACTAATTACTGCAAACGTATTTGTGTGACTTTCACATTTAGAATGCAGAATTTGGTTATTTCAAAAAACCATACAAAGAAATTTGCTAAAGTTTGCGAAATGCAATTTACTGCTATTTACATCAACAGGCAAAGTGTTGATGTGTTGATTTACCACAGGACTAAAAGATTAACACTTTTCCACTTAACATGGCTGATAATTCTTATCAGCACAAGCATAATCATCAAAAGCGTACCAAATCTTTGAGTCGGGCCAGTTATTTAGTATTAATGGAATTTTGAAATCCATTGTGACCCATTGTGAACAAAGAAACTCAGGGACACAAGAGACAATATCAAAGACAGTAGCAACCTGTTAATCACATACAGGCTACTATGTTGCACAATCCGTTTTGAATCTAAAGGGACTATAACTTATCTTTTTTTTAAAAAAATTCTGAGTTTTAGAGTTTACAATGTTAGTTACAGGTATTGATTAACACAATTTGCAAAAAAAATAAACAAAAGAGAAACACTGAACAATCGGGAGTGACCAGTTGCCAGATTATTGATTTTAAAATTTGAGAATTAAATTCGGCTTATGTATATTAGTGTATTGGACCCATTTATCCAAGCATGACAAAAACCAACTTACTCTGTTATTCACATACGCTGTTAACTCCTCCATCCTATAAACTCAAGTGTTATTTCCCACCACAATTATAAAGTTGGTACATCTTGTAATAGCCATTTCTTTGTTATACATTTTTTACTTGCAACTAGCAAGGCACTTAGTAAACATTTTTCTTTTTTAGACCATTCCTGTGGCGTACATCCAAAAAAAATAGTTTTCATTCCACCCCTCCCTGAGCCTGGTTCTGCCGGAGGATTCTTCCTGTTAAAAGGGAGTTTTTCCTTCCCACTTTGAGTGATAGAGTAGAAAAGCCCTATATAAGAGCCAGTCCATTAATTTAACTTTGAAACATTCAGTGTCTGACACTGTCACAGTAATCGTAAGGGTCCTGCAGATGTCACTTGGTAATCTCACTACATTTTAACTGCACAAGACTCTGGATATTGTAGCTCCTGTGAAAAAGAAAGCCTGAAATCAGAAGTATTTGACTCCCTGGTATAACTCTCAAATGGGCACCTAAAAGCAGATAACTGGAGCGAATGGATTCTCACTAATTTAGAAGATCTTTATTTAGACTGGATAAAAAGTTTGTTGCTCTATAAAAAAAAGCCTCCATAAAGCTAGAACATCTTACTATTCATCATTGATTGAAGAAGATAAGAACAACCCCAGGTTTCTCTTCAGCACTGTAACCAAGCTGATAAAAAGTCAGAGCACTGTTGAGCTAACTATTCCTTTAATGCTGACTAGAAATTAATTCATGAACTTTTAACCGTTTTAACCATTAGAGAAACAATTATTCATAACTTTCATTAAGTACAGCTACTGATATTTGTTTAGACAGTCTGTGAAGGTTCTCAGTCATGTAGGTCATTGTAGTCTATGGAGCTTGGAAAGGAAAGCATCTGGAGAGCACCATGAGCTGGATAACTGAGGACATACACAGACTTTCCTAACTGGATGATTACAAACGCATCAACAGAAGAAGAAGAAGGTGGTTTTAAATGGTAACAGGGAGGTACTGCTGGGATTTGAACCCAGGATCTCCTGTTTACTAGACAGGCGCTTTGACCAGCTAAGCCACAGCACCTCTGGATGTGTTTCTTTCCAAGCTCCTTAGATTTATTTGGACTATTTTTCCTCTAGCTGAACTAATTGAACTTTCTGAGTTAACTTCCTTCACCCATTGTGAAGGAAGAATCTCAGGGACACAAGAGACAATATCAAAGACAGTAGCAACCTGTTAATCACATACAGGCTACAATGTTGCACAATCCTTTTTGAATCTAAAGGGGACTATAACCATCATAACTATATGGTGCTGTCTGACTGGAAATGACTGACAACATAAAATAATCAGGAAAGTGTTTGCTGAGGTCAGAGATTATATGAGTCAGAAACTGGATTATATAGTGGTTGAACCACTAACTTGCCAAGTAGTAGATGCCCTGCTCTTTCTCCTGAGCTACAACCACACACAATACTGTTAAAATATAATTTATGGTATACATTTGCATGTTTATTTTGTTTATAAAATTTCTTAGGCCACTCTAGAGGTAGAGCAGGTCACCTACTAATCTTCTGTGGAACCAGCTTCCAGTTTGGATTCAGGAGACAGACACTATCTCTATGTTTAAGATTAGGCTTAAAACTTTCCTTTTTGCTAAAGCATATAGTTAGGGCTGGATCAGGTGACCATGAATCCTCCCTTAGTTATGCTGCAATAGGTGTAGGCTGCTGGGGGATTCCCATGATGCATTGAGTATTTCTTCTTCAGTCACCTTTCTCACTCACTATGTATTAATAGACCTCTCTGCATTGAATCATATCTGTTATTAACCTCTGTCTCTCTTCCACAGCATGTCTTTATCCTGTCTTCCTTCTCTCACCCCAACCAGTCGCAGCAGATGGCCCCGCTCCTCCCTGAGCCTGGTTCTGCCGGAGGTTTCTTCCTGTTAAAAGGGAGTTTTTCCTTCCCACTGTTGCCAAAGTGCTTGCTCATAGAGGAGCAGTTACTTAGAAAGAGCATAGAAAACAGTTCTTGGGTGAATGAGGCGAGTTGTGTAAAGCACTTTGAGTGATAGAGTAGAAAACCCCTATATAAGAGCCAGTCCATTAATTTAACTTTGAAACAGACTTCCCAGAATTTCCTAACTGGATAATTACAAATGCATCAACAGAAGAAGAAGATAACAGGGAGGTACTGCTGGGATTTGAACCCAGGATCTCCTGTTTACTAGACAGGCGCTTTGACCAGCTAAGCCACAGCACCTCTGGATGTGTTTCTTTCCAAGCTCCTTAGATTCATTTGGACTATTTTTCCCCTAACTAAACTGAGTTAACTTCAGTAACTACTTCCTCCAAACCATCAACTTGTCTTAAAGACCCCAATCTTACAAGGCTTTTCAAGGAAGTTTAATGTTTTAATTTTAAAAATGATTAGCCTCTGTCAGTTATTAAGCTGTATGTACCACAGGCCTTCAAGCTGGCAGTAGTTAAACCATTACTTTAAAAGCCATCACTGGACCCAGCGGTCTTAGTTAATTATAGGCCAACCTCCAACCTTCCTTTATAAGGTTGTAGCTGTAAAATGCTTCTGTAAATGATCATCTGCAGAGGAATGGCTTATTTGAGGAGTTTCAGTCAGGTTTCAGAGCTCATCACAGAAACAGCTTTACAAATGATCTTCTTATGGCCTCTGACAGTGGACTCATGTCTGTGCCTGTCCTGCTGGACCTCAGACCTCATACTGTTGACCATAATATTTAATTATAGCTATTAGAGCATGCTGTAGGTGTTAAAGGTCTATCCAATAGATACCTATTTGTTCATGTAAGTGGACAAATCTAATTCTTTATGCACTAAGGTTACAAATATGTAAAAGTGCTTTCTGCTGTTTGTGCAGCATTAGAAATATCCTGTTTCAGAGTGCAGCTGAAAAACTAGTTCATGGATTTATTACTTTCAGACTACTGTAATTTGTTATTATCAGGATGTCCTACTGAACTCCCTGAAATGCCTTCAGTTGATCCAAAATGCTGCAGCAGGAGTACTGACAGGGACTAAAAAAGAGAGAGCATATTTCTCCTATACTGGCTTCCCTTCATCGACTCCATGTTAAATCCAGAATTGAATTTAAAATCCTCGTCAAGTACAAGGTCTTGAATAATCGGGCCCCATCTTATCTTAATGACCTAATAGTACCATATCACCCCATTAGAGCACTTCGCTCTCAGACTGCAGGCTGACTAAAGTACTTAAAAGTAAAATGAGACAGAGCCTTCAGTTTTCAACCCCTCTTCTGTGGAACAAGCTCCCAGTTTGAATTGGGGAGACAGGCACGCTCTCTACTTTTAAGATTAGGCTTAAAATTTTTCTTTTTGATGACTCAGCTCGTTAGGGCTGTAACAGGTGACCCTGGATCCAATAGGCCATGGCTGCTTGGGGCTTCTCATGAAGCTCTGACTGTTTCCTTCTTCACTCACCTTTTTTTATGCAGTCAGAGGTAACGAAGTACAAACACTTTGTATACTCTGCAGGTAGAATTTTGGCACAACACAGAAGGACTGCAGCTGTCCATCAGTTCGGGT